GGGCCCTCATTTGTGACGAGACATCGTCCAAATTTTGAGATATTAGAAATAAATTATACACTTATACAATACTTAACACATCTTACCTATAACTTTTCCAAAACGAGAGATATAAAACACAGCCTGGACTTTCCACATGCGCAACCTATAAGAATTATGATTAATGAAAAGGCAATGAATTCCCAAATTAAATACTTATACTGCCACACCAAACAAGCCACAAGATAAACCAATTTTACCATACCATGCTGGATTTACCTATAAGCTTCGCAGACTGGCGCCTTGGGTGTCCTATACTGGAGGTCGGGTGTTCGATCCCTGCATTGGCCGAGAAAGTTCATCCAGATTTTCCGGCGTGGTTCCCCCTTGTCAGTGATGCAGGACGGAGGGCCTGACAAGGACAGTTGTCTAGTCCTTCGGATGATAAGAAAAACTGAGGTCCCGTGTATACATTGGAATGCACGTAAAAGACCCCTTGGCAGTTGGAATTCGATATAAGAGTAGGCGATAGTGCTGCTGCCCGGGCAAAATTTCCCTCATAGCACACTGTATGGCGTATACCCGTCTTCATTATCCCAGTTTAGGAGCAGAACAGTAGGACGTTAAACCCCATTTCATTTCATTTCATTGCCTTGGGTGTCAAGATCTAGGGGTCGTGGACCAAGGTGCATAATATTTCAACCGTTGGTGTATCGTGATTACGTACCGCAATGTATCATTCACGTATATATAGTGCTTCACCCCACCAAGTGGCCCTCTTTTCGTAACCCTCAGTTGAATCAGTTAAAGGTTAATTTGAAACCGGGGTGGGGGTCGGATGGTTAACGCATGCGTGTTGCATCAAAGGTATGTCATTGTGAGAAGTGGCGTGGTTTCGATTCCCCACTCGTGGGCTTTCCCAGTGTCCTCGAGTTTCCTTCTACTGTTAAAGACGGAACCGTATGTTAGTCCCGATATGACCTAGTTTGAGTCGAGTGGACTCCCCCCCCCCCCGTCTCTCTCTGTCTCGCTTCCGCTCTCTCTTAAATAAGTATCTCTACTGCTGGACTAAGACTAGTAATGTAGTGCGAGTTATAAATAGACAATTTTTCCCTTAATTTTTTTCTCCCCTCTTCCTGCATTTTTGGGTTGACTTTTTGGTCTAGAATTGGAGAAAAGGGATCAAATTTGCAATTTCATAGCAGTTTTGGGTAATACTGATGATATTACAGCGGAGGGATAGGGGGTGTAAAGTGTCTTTCTGCAGAGCAATCATTGTGTCGGAAGTGAGATTTTCACCCCTGTCAACTTCAAATCCGTGTAGCAAAAAATCTAAACGGTCAACCCCCTACAAAATTATGATGAGGAGATTGCCAAATGTTGTCCCCATTGTGCCTATAAAGATTGGAACCAACGGAATGTTGAGCAAAAAGCTACAGCCTGTGATGTTACAGTCATTTAACATTGAAGTCAATGGGCAAATAATTGCTAGTCTGAGACCTGCTTATTGGTGACAGAGTTATCTGCCTTTATATAGAGTCCGCTCATTTTGTCAGTGATTCCAAGTGGTCCAACGCAGACAATATAGAATGACAGGAAATAAAATGGGATTTCAGGTATATTTTTCTGCACCGTCTTTGTTAATGAAGACGCAAATACTACGAGAGAAATTTTAACCAGTCAGCAGTGCTACGGCCTACACTTACTTATTTCGAATTTCAAATATTAAAGAGGCTTTATTCAAGAGCTAAATCTGCCTATATGTCTGTAGGCTTTAAATGTTATATAAGTTTTAAGTAGAAATTTATTAACATGGCAAGACCATAACCAACCCTCGGTGCCATCGGATGGCTCGGATTTTAAGTAAATTTGAACGGTTCGGCCATTTAATGTGGCATTCCAACACCGGCATCGAAAACGAGACCCCCTGGTTAGCGATTCAGCATCTTTACTTTTTCGCTGATTCACCACGCCCTTCAATGCACACAATATGCGTTTTTGATTATTCTATAATATTATCGTTTCATTCAGGCACACATGGCGGTTCAGATGATGAAATGATGAAATCGGGAGTAACGCCCTACATATCTCCTCTGACAGGGGTCATGAAAACGAGCATACGCCTACGTCATGCAGTGTGCTATGAGGGAATTTTGCCCATACAGTGGCGCTACGGCTTACTTTTATTTCGAATTCCAACTGTGAATATATATATATATATATATATATATATATATATATAACTGTAAAATAAAATACGAATTATCATTTTATATGGTATATTTTTACTGATAATTAAAGTATTCAAATAATGCCGGAATTTGAAACCCGTTTTAACATCATACCTTTCGCCTCCCTTTTCAGGGACTGACACTCAAAAGGTGTATAGTAGTTTCGGGGGTCCCTAAACTAGCCAATGTTCTTGTGTAGTCGCGAATTTACGTCGTTTTTTGATGAATTATTAAGATATATGCATAAGCTAAAAACATCAGGATATACTCTAGAAAGCACCATTTACAGTCAGTGTTTTCAAAAGAAATTTCAAGCCTGGTTGGAGAGAACCCTGTCGTTCAGCTCGCGGAGCAAAGATAAATCTGTCCTATCCTAGGTATCATATGTGTAATTTTATGTCAACTTCAAAATTGTCAGTATAAATATAGCATTTACTTGACAATTATCACAATTTTCATCTGACCATAAAAGATTTTGTATGGATTGGTGTTCCTGATGTTATAAGCTTTCCAAAAGTGTATAGTTTGTTTAGTAGGGAGGACCTACTGTGAGGTCCAGAATAATGGATTACATATGCCCCATTGTATTGTTTATGGGGTGGGTGGGCGGGGTGGAGGGTCGTCTAAGATGTGTCATATTTAGCATTATCATTAACATCATTTTCAGCATTAATTTTTGAGTAATGTTCAAGTTCAGTGACCCGGAAAACCTTATAAAAGAGATATAAGCTATATAAAACAGAAAATTGATGATTTTCTAAAAATTCATTCATGTTATGGAAATTCTGGCCGCCATTTTGAATTTTCGCCATATTGGATTTTTCAAACTCTTCGTTTAGATTAAACATACATGCAAGAGCTAAATCTGCCTTGAAATGTTTTTTAAATTATTAATTAGACATTATTTAACTGATCCACGCCATAATCAACTCCCGATGGCATCGGATTTCTCCGATATTAAATAGATTAGAACGGTTCAGCCATATTTTGATTTAATCTAAAAATGGAGGAGCAAGACTTAGCTTCGAACAACCAGTACAGTGGTTGAAATTATTGCACACGTCTTGTCAAACCTTCAAAGGCTAATAATATCTTCGTTCGTAATTTGAATGAAATTGTCAAATTATTCATTTTTCATTATTTATCTTTGAACTATTGCAGCCCAGCAACACTGAGTACTCTTTCAATTAGATAGTACATGTCATTCAAACAATGAAATGACTATTAGTATTATCTGACAAATTGGTCATTTTAGGAAATTTGGTCGCCATTTCGAATTTCTATTAAATCACTTTAGTTGACCAAATAGGTAATTTGGATTATATGGGTCTGAACACGATTTGTTAGTAAACTTGTGAACAGACATGAAAAAAAAATCGAAAATGTTGCTTTTTCCGAATAATCTTTTATTTTAAAACTGATAGTATTGATTAAACAACATATATCATATACCAGCAGATGCAGAATTATATTATGAAAATTTTGAGCTATATTACATATCCCTAGGTGTAAATGTTGAGGAGTTATGAAGGCTTTCAAATAAGAAAAAAAACGGCGGCCATTTTTAAAGATAGCTGCCAAACTGACATTTGGCAAAGTGACCTGGAAGTCCATCAACCAATATTGGACACTTTAGACCCAAGGCTATACCAATTCATCAAATTGGTAATGAATATCTGCCTGTGACATGGACTTTTAAAATAATTGACACTTTGCCATTGTAAAATTAAATAGAGGCCTAAACGTCTCATCCATGTCACATAGTACAAGTATGGCCACAAAACGCTATTTTCAAGCCGACTCAAAGGTGATCTATCAAAAAAAATATAACAAAAAGAATTCATTTAGAAAAAAAAAACAATATGAATTTATAGTTAATTTGAAAAACGATCAAAACGTGATTAAGATATAGTACTTTATATGGAAAATGGACGCCGCCAAAAATACAGTAATTGCATATCGAAGATTAAAGGGTAATATTGGTGTTAGCCATTATCACATAATATGATAGAACTGTTTGAACACGTTCCAAATATAATTTTACCACATAGATCATTCTTACGATAAATGTGTAACGAAGATTTGAAAAAACGGAAGAGACGCAAAAAAATGGAAAACAAGAGTTATCCTTGATTGTCACTAAATAAGAGAAAACGCAAAAATATGAATACGTATAGAAAGAATAAAACAAGAAATGTGCGGCGCTTTTCTATTTTTCTCGTTTTCTCTTATCTAGTGACATTCAATCTTATTTTTTAAATTGTCAGATATCCTCCCAAAGCCTCGTAATAATATAACAACTTTTCGTCTTCAACAGAATTGTCGGTGAGATGAAATTAGATCTGTTGTCGCTCGTTACTTCAGTCAGTTATATAGAATGATCACTCTTCTTTTCCATTGTTTTGTGTCGCTTCCGTTATTTCAAATCTTCGTTGTGCATCTATCGTATCAATTTTCTCTGTGTTAAAATTATAGTTAAGATGTGTTTAACCAGTTCTATCATATAATTATGTGGTGGTTGACACCAATATTGTCCTTTAAGTCCCAAAGAGTTCGCTGTAACGTATAGCGATCAAATACACAAAGCGACGGGGTCATATTGATGTCCACATGCTCCAGATCTCTGATAGTAAATTTTGTTGGGTTATTGGTTTTTGTTTTTTGTTGGGGGGGGGGGGGGGGTGTAAAAAAAATTGGAATTTATGGCGTTACAGATCTCCCACTTAACTTATTACTTATACGCCTATTTTTAAGAGATGCTATAATTATATATGACTTGAACGAATTAGTTTATGAACGTGGGACTTAATTGATTGGTTATCAGGGTCAATATGGCAGAGCCAATGGTTACGGACTGCTTGATATGTAATAAGAAATGGTTATATTGTATATAAGTAGATAATCTACATCGGATATCTAAAACAATATAATAGAAACATGATGGTAAGAAGTTTTTTCTTATTAACTATTTTATACTTCCATTGATGGGTTCATGGTTGTCAAACGTGCAGCGAATAGACTCTCGTAGAGGCAGAGAAGAATCGTTTTTATTTTTATTTGGAGTTCTTTGTTTGTCTATACTATATGGGGTTTGAATTACATGCATTTTATTATAATACTGGACGGGAAATAATATGTCACATTTATTTAAACGGTTGTTTATCGGCCTATAAATAATACTAAACTTTCAAATTTAAATAGGTTGAAACTATGGAAGGAGTAGCAAAAGAAATTTGTGTTATGTATCTATTTTCACATCTATTGTTTTTTTATTTGTCCGAGTAATTTATATATCGGCTATATTCATCGGTTTTATTTATTTATTTATTTATTTTAAAATGTGGTATGATAAAATAGTGTTCTTAATAATGTTTTTGTATTGTTTCTTAGCTGTTGAGGTCACTAGCTGTTGTGCTCACATTTATGACTGAAATTCATTATTGTAAATCACAGACACAAGGTAAAACGATCTACGATCTCTTATTATGTTTCAAATTCCACTGATTAAAACGATTTTCCAAAACGATAAGTGAATTATTAGAGGGTGGGCTACATACCCTGAACACGAGATAGTATTAATGGTAAAGGCACACATTTTGTTCATGGTTGTCATTTTGTGATCTTGTATTTGGAATAAAGAAAGGAAAGCTGTTTGGTCCGGGCAAAGCCTTCTTTTAAATATTTCTTATGTTACAATTCGTGACGTTTTTCGTCATAATAAAGTTATCAATGCCCCCCGTGTATTTACCGTTAAATATCTGTATTTCAGCAAGCAGTGATGCCTATGACAAACAGGCCCATCAGTTATGTCAACATTCATGTGGCAACAGTAACATTCTGACAGATTTGTGTTTGTGTGATATTGAAATTCCTTGTACTGTAAGTGTTCTGTATAAATAATATCGGTTGTTCTATAAGTGTTCTATACAAATAATAAATATTAGTTGTTTAGTCCTGGATCTGACAATGGTTCTGTAGGAAAGTTTGAGTAGGGAGAATTTCTTTGAAGAAATGTTTAGTAGGTAACTTAGTCAGTATTTTGGACTTGGGTGGACACTCGCCATGTGGTAGGTTATTCCTATGACGTCATCAAAGATGGCCGCCGACGTTATTTCAATTTTATCCTACCCGCTATAGTTTTCTTTCAATATCTATGAAATAAAAGCCAGAATGAAGCTGTCTGTGTGAACTAAAGTGAAAAATATATTTATTAAACTTTTATTATTTTTTCACGAAAACTCAATACCCAATTTGTAAGTGACCTCACGAAAAAATCTCTAAAATGCAAAAAACAAAAACAAATAACACTTCAAAATTAATTACAATGGTATAAGAATAGGAAATTCGTTGACAGCATTCAAAAGTGATTTTTACAAGTTCAATCAGAATCTTTGACAGTCATACATTTACAAAATGAACAGAATGCTAACTCATTGGCTCTGCAAATACAGAACGGCTATGCATATATTAACCTACACAGACACAAGCACTAATAAAGTCATCGGGAAACTGTTATTCATTTCACAAGTTCTTGTGATTGCCACAACCATACTGGAAGCTAGACAACATAACAGGTAAAAATGATGAACCTGTGGCTAACGTCGGTCCTAATAATACCACTGGGGTGGGGGTTCGATGGTGTTCTCTTCGAATAGGCGCAAAATTTCCTTAGAAAAACTGACTGTAAATTGTGCTTTATAGAGTATATCTTGGTGTTTCTAGCTTCTGCGCATATCTGACTTGTGGCAACCTTAGCAATTTATCAAAAACGACGTAAATTCATGACTTCAAATTACCCAAGAACATTAACTAGTTTCGGGACCACTGAAACTACCATACTCCTGTTCAGCCAATCCCTAAAAAGGGAGGAGAAAGATAGGATGTTAAAATGTGTTGCAAATTTCTGCAGTACTTGATTACTTTAATCATCAGTACAAATACGCTATATGAAATAATAATTCGTTTATTATTTTACAGCTACAATAACGAAAGAAAAATATGTTTCCGTTTTATCCAAAAAGCAATTTGTTGTCATTTCATGCAAAAAGATATGATGTTAAATCGTGTATGCCTTAAATTATCATATAAATTAACACTTGGTTAAGTTGGTATATTGATACAGTATTTTACAGCAACAAGAACGTTTCCGTTTAATAGAAAATGCCAATAAACAATTTATTGTTAGTTTGAGGGGAAAGTATTACAGGTGGTAGATAATATTTACATGTTGTTTAAATGCATATTTTCATAAACTTATTATGCAGATAGATGTTTATATGGAAGGTCCACTTCGATATAAAATAATATCCTGTGTGAAATAGGCGTCCTGAATACAATACAACATTGGCGGTTTATGAAATTTTGCGGTCTAGTAGTTTATTCATTTGCCACCAAAGCTGGTTTGAATACTGTTTGATGCAAAGTGAACATATCCTTTTCTGCGTGCCCAGTTTACGACATTTTAGTATGTTTACGTTAATAACATGTCTTAAAATACTTCTATTATAAAGGTAACAATTATTATCGTTATACATATAAATATATATATATAGGTTTTATTATCGCTAGGTATATGTTTGCTAATTTCATTTTGAATTCGTGTGAGATTCCGCTCGGTGTATTTCTTCAGTCAGAAGATAGTCCTTCTTGTGGTAACTATGTATTGTGACATCACATCTTGCGGTAACTACTAGTATGCTTAACACCATTAATTAGTATAATAGTTCTTTATATAAAAAGACAAAACTTCTTTTTGAGTGTTATTCAAGTATTCTTATTGTTGTAGCATTGTAAATGTGCTAATTTTCTTATATTTTTTTTAACTTTTTCACGTTTTCGCTTAAAAATGTGGTATGTGTTTTTTTGAAAATAAATAAAAAAATTACCAAAAATATGCTCTTCAAATAAGTTCAAATAAACAGCTTCATATTTTTCTTATATTTTTGAACTTTTTCCACGTTTTCGCTTAAAAATGTGGTATGTGTTTTCTTGAAAATAAATAAAAAAATTACCAAAAATATGCTCTTCAAAGAAGTTCAAATAAACAGCTTCATTCTGGCCTTTATTTCATAGAAATTGACGGAAAACTAGAGTGGGTAGGATAAAATTGATATAAAGTCGGCGGCCATATTTGATGACGTCATTGTGGAATAACCTACCACGTGGTGAGTGTCCACCCAAGTTCAAAATACTTACTTCGGCACCCACTAAATATTCTTCAAAAAAAGTTCTCCCTACTCAAACTTTCCTACAGAACCATAATCAGATGCTGGATTAGTTCTGCAGGTGTTCTATAAAGATAATATTAGTTGTTCATTAAAATTTAGTGTTCTATATAAATAATATTAGTTGTAGTGTACGCGTTCTAAATAAATAATATTAGTTGTCCTGCAAGTGTTCTATATAAATAATATTACCTCTTCTTTAGTTGTTCTGTAAGTGTTCTATATAAATACAATTAGTTGTTCTGTAAGTGTTCTATATAAATAATATTACCGTAGTTTATCTTTGAATGCTATAATAAACCTCGCGTTTATAGCATAGGGGGAAATGGATGCAATCTTCATATGCTAGACCCGCACAAATAAAAATATATAACCTGGGTATAATTAGCTATGTGGGCATCTCCATCAAACAACATGCCGTACCAGATGTTTTAGAAGTAACTATAACGTAAAATGTTTGAATATAAGTTTGAATATCGATGAAGCCATTGCTAACATAATTTAGAAAAGATACCTGAAAAGTAATTAGTCCTTTAGCCCGATGATAAGCATATTATACTTCTTAATACACAATTACTTATAATTAATTCTACTGAAATTTTGGACTTGGGTTTCAGAAGTCTTGTGAACTAGGAACACATTGTAAAGTGATGCCAAATTCTGTAATACCGAGGACTATGTGCTGTCCGGATAGAAGTGGACGTGTGTTTGACTGTAAGTATATAGAACTTTTAACATGTACGCCATCGGAAACAATAAACACTTCATAAACTACATATTCCCGAAATAATTATACCGCTGAAGCACGTGTACCCCCCACTGTGTAGATATTCGGAGTTCATTGAAAACTGTATTATGCAGGCTTAAGAGCTAAATCTACATATTGATGCATTCGTGTTTCAAACAGTATATCAATTTTATTGAGACATTTATTCACATGCCATGCCCATAACCCAGAAAACTAAGATAGTGAGGTGCTTAGACAAAGTCTGTCATAGCTTCGTTAAACTTTAAAATGAACCTCAATCACAAAGACTGCCGATTGAATTTGAAGGGTTTAAAATCGATATTTCGGTTTTTACAGTGGAAATAGTACTTGAAAATCGAGACTTTGTTTCTTACAGCAGTATTTTTACTTTACAATCGAGACTATAGAGGTTATTTATTGTCAAAACTTTACACATTCATAATTTCGTTCAGAATCAAGTAATTTGACTGAAAATTTTAATATATTCATTTTTCATTATCGAATTTTCAACTATTGTTGTAAGAATTATAAGCTCTTAATTAAATCCTATATATTTTCAGATTGTCATCACACAGTGTTAAGATTATCTCACTATGGCTTTCCATATATAACAGTATATAAGTTTGATGATAGTACTGGACAATGTGTGAGTCGGGTGGTGAAAAGGCGGGACAACCTAATAGTAAATGGATATAAGTCGATCTATAGTTGCCAAGTGTGTTCTAAATTCAAAATGTGTGCAAAAAGTTCGAATAGCGGCCTGGGTTTTCAAGGTACAGAGAACAACCGATCTGTAATTAAACGAACTATACTTCTTCAGTGGTCTAACAAATCACCGGATCATCCTATGGGGAGAGTAACAGACCAGCGACAAATTAATGGGGTGCTTGAAATGGCAAAACTTCACCCATCTCCCTTCTACAGTAAATCGGCGCTGGTTCACTAACCAGGAAATCCGGGGTTGGCAGATAAAATTCCCGGTATTTTCCAACCTGATTTCCCATTGTCTAATCGTATAGATTGGACGAAAACCCGAGCTCCCGCGTTCTCTGTGGTGTGCACGTAAAAGAACCGATGACATATGGAATTCAATAGCTGTCCGGGCAAAGCTTTCCCTGACTGTATGGCGTATGCCCGTGTGCATTAGCCCTGGTTGGACATTAAATTCCGTTGCATTGTATTTCTAACTAAACTATACATTTATAATTACGAAAAGTTTATAAAATAAAATTTGATTATGTTTTATTATTGTCATATCATCATTTCATTGGAGCTGTAGCCTATGTTTATCGGCCATTAAATAATTGAATTAGTATAACACTGTTTTAATTCTTGGAGAAATTGAAATATAAATTGTTGTTGTTTTTCTTAGTGTTTAACGTCCGTTTCCAACGGATATCGCAAGTGATATCGCAGACAAGTTGTTCATTTTTATTATATTAGCGCCGGAGTCTTTTCTGTGGGAGGATACCGGAGTACCCGGACTAAATCAACTAGTTTGAGAAGGCGCCCCTATCTCCAAGGGGTGCTCACACTAGGGATCGAAATCACGACCACAAGCCAGAAGTGACCGGCCAGCTAAAGGTTAAAACGCGGCACTCTAGATTACTAGGCCATGCTACCTCCCCTTGAAATATCGAGAGGAAAAATTTCTTAAATAAATCCGAAATTTGCTTTTACTAAAGATATGAACTTTTCACTGAAATCCTCATTTATGAGATGGGTCTTCCCCCATAATCCACTACATGGCGTCTACCCGTCTTGTTGGTGCAGAAAAGAGAGCCTTTAAACTCTAGTTTATTTCATTCCATTTCATACGGACATTGCATATTTCATGGTGTTTTATACTTATACATAATGATTCAAGAACTGGATTCAAATATTTTTACCAGATAAAATATCAGGACATTTCGAATTACAGGAGAACAGGGCTCTTCCGGGTTGGTTTCACTCAAACACATTCTCAAAATACAACATGGCGTACATATATCTGTGATAGGCGCATATATAAATACATCTATCACTCACAACACGGATGCAAATTCACATGGACTGGTTTCACTCAAACGACACCCTCAAATTACAATGCAACGATCGATGCGTGAACATGTATGTGATCTGCATTTAATTGTAACATTATCATTCTTGTTTTCTCCGCGTGAGTCTTGTTAACACACAACCCGGATGCTGATTCGTCCGGTTTGGTCTCACTCAAACACACACACACACCCTTAATATACAATGTCGGAAATGATGCGAGAACTGCGTATATATAAATGCTTCATATATTGACCATGATCACATGTTGTGAGTCCTGTAACGATATTGTTGAGATTCATAGAACTTTTCACTTTTCTCGGACTTTAGTACTGTAAGTTCTGTTTGGGTTTGTTTCATTTTCAATGCGTACAGGTATTATCTTTAATGACATCTAGAAGTACGGTTAAATGTTCACAATAAAACACACTACAAGAGAGATAGAGAGAGGGAGAGAGAGAGAGAGAGAGAGAGTAACATCCTCTCGACACAAAGTAGCTGAACCCTGTACTAACTTATCTCAACTGTATATGAATAACTATTTAGCAGTAGGAGCAAACTGGAGTATGTGCTACAAAATGTCGTTATTAAAGGACAATATTGGTGCCAGTCATTATTACATATGTGATAGAGCTGGTTAAACACATTCCAAATATAATTTTAACACAGAGATCTTTGCTACGATAGATGAGTAATACAGGTTTCCTGAATCGGAACTGACTGATGTGACGAGTGATAACAAATACACGGCCGAATTTCTGCTCACTAATAATTCCTTGGAAGACCAAAAGTTGTTATATGGGACTGTAAGAGGATACCTGACAATTCAATAAAGTAATTGAATGTCATTAGATAAGAGAACACGAGAAAAATAGAAATAGTCCGTTCATTCCCTTGTTTATATTAATTCTATACCTTATAAAAACATGGTAATGCACTGACTTTTTCTGTTTTTTTCTTTCGTGTTCTCGTATCTAGTGGCAGTCAATTCTTTTTATGAATTGTCACATATCCTGTCGCATTCTCACACAGCAACTTTTGGTCTTGGAAGGAATTATTAGTGAGCAGAAATTCGCCCATTTATCTGTTATTACTCGTCACTTCAGTCAGTTATATAGAGGGATGACTCGTGTTTTCCTTTGGCGTTCGTCACTTCAGATTCAGGAAACCTGTATTACTCAGCTATCTGTGTTAAAATTATATTTGGAACGTATTTAATTAGTTCTATCATATATGTGATAATGACTGACAGCAATATTGCCCTTTAAACAGCAGAGTAGTAGTTATATCCATATATACCAAGTGACGTGTTTTATTGTGTAGATATACAGGTACTTAGATGTAGATATAATATACAGGTGTATACATTATAAACCTTTATGTAAACAGAGATGAATGACACATAATTCATCACACTAAAGATTGTCAACTGTGAATTGAAGTACCGACCGTTGTTGGTGAGTATGTAGATATTTATGATTACATATATATTGACGCCCATAAGACAGTTTAACAACATTTGAGAGACTACTTGAGTTAAAACATATTGAATATGTAAAAGATGACGTACATACCGAAATTCAAAATGTAACAGGTTATAAATATTTGAGTACATTGGTTGTATTTAGACGAAATTTAACCGGCCCGCTAGTTCCATTTTTCAAAATCTAAAAGTTTTTTGGGGTTTTTTTTAAATATTCTCGATACACTTTTCCTTGAACATTAATATTATATAGAATAATGCATTATGTTTTAATGTTGTGGTATCCCCTTGGCAGTGGTGCAGAACGGGAAGCCTGACAAGGACAGATGTCTAGTCGTTCGAAGGGACGAAAAACCGAGGTCCCGTGTACAGATTGGCATGCACAAAAAGAACTCCTGACATTTGGAATGAGTAGGCTGTAGCACCGCTGTCTTGACAAATTCCCATCATAGCACTCTGTTTAAGATAAAACATTTCATTGCTTTATTATTCGGTTTAATTCATATTCATAGCATTAAGCATAACGTCCGCTTTCATCGGGTCTGATATCGCACACAATCCTTTCTATGATGCCGAACACCTTATTATAGCCCTCTCCTTGGTAGGCCCGTCTTCGCTGAAACAGTAGAACGTTAAACCCGATTTCATTTCATTTCTAAACATCAAACATATATAAACTATGTAATAGGTAGAACGTATAGATTGATATTTATGATGTTCGAGTGCGTTAACTCAACTGGTGTGTCAATACATTATAAAGGCTCTTGCGCAAGATCTTTATAACGTCAAAATACCGATCCCACGTACTCTATCACGGCACGTTCTTTTTTATGAAATCATCACTTGATCACCATCTTAAATAGATATACGATTGAAGGAGCGAGAAATCGACGCACGCATATAATAGTGGGATATGAAAGTATATAAACTGATTTACATTCAATCGTTTCTGTTTTTACCGACTTTCTAATAAGTTATATTCGGCGAAATACGCGAAGAGTCCAAATTCACTGGCAGTCTTTGGCGTCTGTTTTTTCAGTCTACACAGGTATGTGGGATATGTTTATAGCTTCGTTCATCGAGTCGCTTCATTACAAATGGTGCAAGAAATCATTTTAGAATGTTCATTTTGTCTTAAATATATCAGAAGCTCATCTTTTCACGTTAAAGGGGCATTATAGGAGATTAGATAAAGAGTTGGCAGTTTTCGCTTTCATAGTTAAAAATAGATAATGTGAATAGAATATGCTGACAATTTCAGTCCAATTGCTCCACCCTGAACCGAGATATTCGCTTTTCAATTTTAGGCTAGTCTCGATCATGATTATTAAAGTCGGTACGATATAAAACAAAGTCTCGATTATCTATTTTTACTTTTAATTATTTTCATAAAATGTATTCCAATCCGAGATGATTATGGTCTAGATAAGTTAATTAATATCTAATTAATAATTTAGATAACATTTCAGACCTAAAGAAAGACCTGCAATAGGCAGATTGAGCTCTAGCATAATGTACGTTTAAGATAACGACATGTTGATTTAAATTGACCAATAAGTCGTGTTTGCAATGTCCTGTTTTAACTTTATTATAACAAAGGGAGAAGATGACCCGCCCTCTCTTCTCACGACAGAGAATTTATAAGTGTGCTTTAAGAAACTTTTGGAATCCGGGGACCTTTTTATTTTGTGTTTTTAACAATTTTCAAGTGTAAATAATTTAATTAAATCAACCTGTCCATAATATCGTATTCATTGTACTGGACGTTAAATCTGTAATAAACAACAACAACAACGTGTTTGCAATGTCGAAGAAAGTGGACGATATTAAGTTAGCGACTTGCATCCTTTAACAAAATGTATACACCATTATTTGAAATAATGGTAAGTCAATCTGTACAGATAATACTTTTATGAAATCACCACGTTATCGTCATATTCAATATATAATGTACGATTAGAAAAATGCCGTACCACTCTTTAATTAAAGTAACGGTAGGCCAATATCAAAGGATTACATCTGTGTTTAATTTATACGTATTACAAAATACCATCCGAATATACCACGCTTGTGCCAAAACGCACGAGGGCACATTAAAGGTCGTTTACCATGTATCTGATTTCTATGTTTCCACAGAGTTTCCGCTAGTTACATGGAAACGATCCCATTACATTTGCATTAGCTTGATTTTTTGCTTGCGAAAACTCTCGCTGAAACACTGCGAAAACAAGGAAACCTGGCCCAAAACTGAAGTTTGAAATAAGCAGCATGAAAATGAAATCACCATAAATCTCATAAAGATGTTGATGCTTGTTACCTGCTTGCTTGGCCTACGTATAACACCCCCTGGAGGGGGGGGGGTCGACACAGGCACGCGTTCTCGTATCGCCGATGCCTGTTAATTTAAAGCCATTGTACTGGAGTGGCGGGGGCAGTACACTAGGTCTGTAATTCTATCGTGACATGTCGGGAGTTGGATCAGACTCGACCCGACGTCTCTCTCTCTCTCTCTCTCTCTCTGGGGGGGTTGGATGGCTGAATGGTTAGCGTGCGCGCGCTGTATCATAAAGTCTGTCATTGAGTCGACTGGCGTGGTTTCGAATCCCCGGTTGTACGTGACAAGGAGTAGGGTCGCCTGTCCAACCTCGTGGGTTTTCTCCGGGTCCTCCGGTTTCCTCCCACTGCTAAAGACCCCTATGCGCAAGAGAATTATTGAAATAAAATTAAACCATATGTTAGTCCCGAAATGACCTAGTTGTGTCGAGTGGACGTTAAACCCCATTCTCTCTCTCTCTCTCTCTCTCTCTCTCTCTCTTGTGGGCTGGATAAACTAAAGTAACAACATTAGTAGTCATATATATCCAGTTCACCCTAAATACGAAATCTTCAAAACATTGTACACGTGTAATCATTATGACAAGCCGGGGAGGTAGTCGATAGATTATTTTTAGGTCTGTATATACGTTTGCGCTTTCATTCCCGCTCTGCGAAGCTCTAAATCATAACATTGCTAGTTGTTCTTGTTTATTCATCATGATAAAAACCTGTTCCATTTTAATGTCCATTTCAGTGAATATCTATAGTGTTTAGCTGTATCTTGTTTTAAAATAGGTCAATATAGATAAAGGTAGACCTATTAATGGGGTCTATTGAAGCGTTGTTACCATGGCGGTTATGACAAAGCCGCCATCGGAAATATGTCAAAACACATAACAGAGAGTCTGGGTTTTCAACTGAATGGAGACTTTGTCGATTTAATTTTAAAAAAAATAAGAAACACTAATTGAAATAACGCTCATACCTTGTACCAATTTAATATATGAATTCGAGTTTCCGATCCTTTCCAGAACGAAATCAACGGACAACAAAATGTTTTACCTGGGAGATTAGATAATCTCATCTTTTTTTAATCAATGTTTGTTCAATATAAACTCATCTTGACCTGCATTAAGGTGGCCTTAATAATTAGATCTAGTCTTATAATTATGTGTTCAGTATCATAGAAAGGTTTGATTGCGATATCACCAGGATGAAAGTGTGCGTTATGATATGAATATGAATTAAACATATAAAGCAATGAAATGTTTTTCCTTAAACAGAATGTCGATATTTAACTTATGTCAAATATATCTTTATCAAATAACGAATATAAATGATAGACAGATGGGTTATCTTGAACATAACCTCTCTTAGATTATGGATTAGCCCTTCATCATGAGAAGCCATACTAATACCCAATAAATTATCGGAAATGTCGCGACATGTCTTCATTAGCCCAGTCGGAGCAAAACAGTGAGATGTTAAATCCCGTTTCATTTAATTTCATAGCGTCTACGATTCATGGCTGATCAGAGTTTGACTACGATATCAAATATATAAACATGTACCATCTTGGAATTATAACGCCATATCATCAATCGAAATCCGTCAACCGATGCACACAGTTGTCACAGGAACATGCTGATCACTTAAAATGGCGGAGCCTTAGTCTCTCTCGTGGAGCATTGCCCCATACAAGATGAGTAGCGCTTGAGACCAAGTTCCTGATCCAAAAATAGAAGATGAAATGGCTATGAAGCAATGACCAAAGACGTAGTGCACTGCCTGGGACAAAGGCCGAAATATTATACTCTCGACATGTAGTTTCGCAGCAAACGATGCGATATTGGCTTTCTTACGACAAAGATTATGTCGTATGCAAAGGACGCTGAATGTTGTGAAATTTTCAATCAGTCTATTTTTTTTTTTATAAATTCTGAACACAACTGAACGAAGTTATTCAAAATTTCCCAAACTATGATCAGCAGTTGTAAGTAAACGTCCAACCTCGTGGGTTTTCTCCGGGTCTTTCGGTTTCCTCCCACTGCTAAAGACCCCTACGCGCACGCGAATTATTGAAATAAAATTAAACCATGTGTTAGTCCCTAAATGACCTAGTTTGTGTCGAGTGGATGTTAAACCCCATCTCTCTCTCTCTCTCTCTCTCTCTCTCTCTCTCTCTCTGTAAGTAAACGTCCAACCGGTTTATTATACAGGTAAAGGCATTGGATAGGAAAGCTTGCATGACTTTCTCTTCACGCTATGAGTTAGGAGTTTAATTTAATCAAATGTTGGTACCGTCTCCAATCTAAAAGTTCAAATAAACATAAACAAAATCGCAGATACCTCGGTTACACGTTTGTTTGGGCTTTGAAAAAATAATAATTTGTTATAAATGTAAACCGATCTAGCGGAAATTAGGATTTTTGAAAATTTAAGAAAGGAGTATTTAATGGGTCTACTACATGTATTTCTTTTCACAAGGAAGTTGATTTTGAGGAAAATATAATGGGCATGGTAATTGTTTTATTTGATAATCAAATTTCCAAGTTATATTTTAATTTTAGTATGTGTACAGAACTGACACAAAAAACATTGGATAATAGATTAGAAGAAAAGATGTCATACAAGCCAACTATATACATAATGGGTCCCCGACCTGGACTGAAGGAAAGTATCAAGGCAATTGATGACTCCTTAGATGTTGTATTTATTAAAACTGATTGGAGTAAGTTAGAAAGATTTTCATTGATATGTGTTATGGTGGAATAAATGGTTCCTCGGTATGTTAAATGGCACGATCCTGATACCGAAAATTAATCCACTACAAAGTATAGTCTAAACCAATGTTTCCCAACCAAGCCAAAAGTGTTTGGGGTCCGCGAATTCAAAGGGGTTGTTGGACTCCGTGACAAAAAAGACAGCCAATAAGAAGAATTCAGTATGAAATTGTTGGGATCGAACAATGATTTCAGTAACTGCACTAATAGCGATCATCTTTCTATTGGTTCGTGTAGAACGTACGTTTTGATACAGCTGCCTTTAAAATGGCCCATGTCAAAGTTTATCAAAAAAATAAGATACGAAAAGTGGCGCTACGCGCCCACTACCCTAACGCCATAAATATCGGATCATCTGTGTGGATGTAAGAATTCGCTAGACATTTGTGAAATGTCCAAAAGAGATAAGACCTACTGGTCTTAAAACGAACAGCACTGCATTTCTTATTATTATTTAATTCTGATTTTTCTATAGGAGAAGCACCAAATTTTACTGATGTGGATGTTGAGAAAATAGAAATTGTTGTGAGCAGTCATCACTCATTTGGAGCCATCTATGAACATTGTCCAAACTTGCGCTGGTTCCATTCTTTAACGGCAGGAAATGAACGAATGTTTCGATATATTGGAACAATGGATGTAAGTAAATTCTAGATTAAATTAACGCACCATGAGCTCATAGCAGAGACCCACTTTTTATTTGTTTGTTATAGTTACGATCAGTTCGTTCTTCCTTATTAAGCAATAGTACTTTCAGTAACTTATTTGTTAAAACTAAATTTGCCCGTTTTTGCTACGAATAAATCCGCAACGAGGAAAACATAAATCAAACTGGTCGGCACATCTTTTCTGTGTTTTCATTAAGGGTACGAATATGATATACTTTAAATTGTCTTTGGTATTTCGGAATGGGATATTGTCCAGTTAGTGCAATGGCAGAATGGGGAATACATGTGTTCAGGGGGGGGGGGGGGAAGAAGACCCTCAAAAATTATTTATTTTTAAAGGACCTAAGTCCGTAAGTCAAAATCCTCCAAAATCTTCGACATCGAAAACACGAATTATTGGTCAATTTAAATCAACATTGATGATGTAAACTTACCGGGAAAAGATGAGCTTCTGATATCCGATATTTAAGATAAAATAATTTTTTTAACATTGGTACACGACTCGTGTACCATAATGCGCTTCAGCCCCAGTTGTATTGAGAGACTCGAGGGACACATTGCACCAAATCAAATGGAGTTATGTAGACTAGAATAACTAGACGCTAGAAATTTGCACTCGATTGAGATTGCTGACTTATTTCGCCGAACATAACTGATTTGAAATTGGAGTAAAAACGGAAACCATTAAATGTAAATCAGTTTATATACATTCATATTACAGTATTATATGCGTTGCGACCCACTTTTGTCAATTTCTAGGTCCCAAATGATAGCGATTTAGCTCCTTTAAGACAATTCTAGTGCTATAGAAATGCTTTCAATTGGGTCCATCGCGCATTATTGAGGGAACTGTTCTCGACCTACTCTTTTTTGATTTTTTTTTTCAAAAGGTAAAACCGGAATGTTTTTACACGAGAAGTTGTGCAGTTGTTAGCGAATTCGTTTCTCAATACGTCATCACACAAATATTAGCTCATGAGAAATGTATGTTTCAACTTTACCAAAATCATAAAGATAAACGATGGACGAGGTATGTATACATATATTAACTAATTGTTTGATTGCTGTACCAAGTTCTCCCACTGCTGAAGACGATACGCGCAAGCGAATTAATGAAATAAAATTGAACCACGTTATCCCAAAATTGACTTGGTTTGTGTTAAACCCCATTTTTTTTAACGGAGTCGTTAACGTAACTGCAATTATGTACATGGGACGTCGGTTTTACATCCCACCCGAACGACTAGACGATGGTCATTACTATGCCCCCGTTTGAAACATCTAGAGGTACTAATGAGCGAATCCCTTTCTGACTGAGTCACCGTGGTGGCTTCCTAGAGTGGAAGGGAAGCCGTATTTAAAATTACCTAGATTATCTATTTCTTTAATCGCATAGTTAATTGTAATCCACAAACCTGTACAGTCCTCTTTAATCAAAGCGGGTTGCTGGTTCGTTAAATAAGTAGCTAGGATGCTATAATAACTTTTCTCAAATATTTCAGAACAAATTTGTCCTCTCGATGTACGTCTGATGTTACAGTCTGTATATTAGGACTAGGGAGCATCGGAATGAAAGGTGGGGTTTTTTGCCGATTATAATTATGATACATGTTTTAGTGTACCTTATGTGTTAATGTGGTCGTACGATTTCGTCTACACTATCGGTCTGTCCACACTTTCTTTACACGTACAGACTCAAGTGTCTTGACTAATTTTCATGACAAGTGTCAGAAATAGTCAGTAACTGGGTAACTTGTCAGAACGATACTCTACAGGGTGAGATAACACACGCTAGCAACGTCAATGTTCACCCGACACTATCAGCTTCAATGTCCGTCCGACACTAGCAGCTTCAATGTTCAGCTTCAATGTCCGTCCGACACTAACAGCTTCAATGTTCGTCCGACACTAGCAGCTGCCGTTTGCCACTATCCGACAATAGTAGATTTGATGTTCCTTTGACACTAGCATCTTCTTTGTTCATACGCCCTAGCAGTTTCTTCGTCTTTCGTCTGACAATAGCAGCTTCGTTAGCTGCAATGTAAGAATTATTATATATTTTTTTTGTCACTTTAATTTTTTTAAAAACAGTATATCGATCTTTTTATAGATATCACCCCCACCTCCCCCCCATCCCCACCCCAAGTTGACACGGGACATAAATTCCTAATTTATTACAGTAGCTTTGCACAATGTATTATTACTGCGAAATCACACCCGGTGGAAGCGGACGTTCAGCCCTACATACAAAAGATCGAATTATACTAATTTTATAATGCTTTCTTTCTGTTAAACTAAAACAAGCTTATAGAACCAACACAACCGCGATTAATAGTCGCACGATTCCATGTCCATGTCTATAAAATGCTCAGCCATGCAATATGCAAATAAGAACAATATGAAAAACTCAAACTAACGGGTCGGCATTGATAACGACAGCTGTCGCTATATTATACTCCTTTAAAATTCATGTGCTTGTATGAAATTAAAGCGTCCAAAATTATCTGTTTCAGCGGCTAAATTATGTAAAACATTTGATATGAAAGTTAGTGGTATTACGAATGCCCCTGTGAAAAAAGAAGATCGAGATATCTCTGTTGATCATTATGGGTCAGTATATTATATATTGTACACTTTTCAAATACTTTACAGCACTGATGTGTCATTACCTTGCAATTACCCAGTACAATTCCCTTTAATAAATTATTATATTTATGTTCGAGATCTTTAACCCATTTCTGTGCACATAATTGTGCTAGAAGCGTACGAAGATCCAATAATATTGATGGATGGGGGGGGGGCACTTTTGTTTCTTATAATTAACAAGCATTCTGAGAGTGATGTAGAAGCCATACATACTCCCTGTCGTATTTTAACCGTTTAAATTACTTAGAATAAGACGTCTGCTCGCTAACCTTGAATCCCGTGTTCGATCCTTGTGTTACTTGAAAAAGCTCATCTGGATTTCCTGGCGTGGTTCCCCCTTGTCATTGGTGCAGGGCTGAGGGCCTTGCAAGGGGGAACGTATAGTCGTTCGGATGGAACGAAAAAACGGAGGTCCCGTAAACACATTGGTGTGAACGTAAAATAACTCTTTGCAGTTGGAATTCAATATTAGAGTAGGCCGTCGCGTCGCTGTCCGGGCAAAAGTTACCTCATGGCATACTGTATGGTATATGTCCGTCGTCATTAGCCCAGTAGGAGGTTAAACCCCATTTCATTTCATTTTAAATTCCGTAAAGATGTCAACCCGTATGTTGCATTTCTCGGACAATATCTATTTTTACGGCTTAATCCATACTCAAAATATACTCAAAATATTTTACCCAACACAGATAGGTGGTCCTGTCTTGTTTATGCAAAAGATGTCGAATTCTGTTAAATTTATAATCGGTCTATGAATTCTAAGCAGAACGGAACGAAATTATTCAAAATCCCTCAAAATATGATCAGCGGTTGTATGTAAAAATCCAATCGGTTTATTATACAGATAAGGGCATTGAAAAAGAAAGCTTGCATAACTTTCTCTTTGCGCGATATAAATTTTGATTACCATCTTCAATCTTAAAGTTAAAATAGACATAAACAAAATCGCAGACACCCCGGATACACATTTGTTTGTGTTTAAAAATGTGAACAGATCTTGAGGAAACTATGATTATTGAATTTTTAAGAAAGCGGTATTTCAATGATCTACATGTATTGTATTTTTATTTCACAAGGAAGTCGGTTTTGAGGATAATACATTGAGCTTGGTAATTGTTTTATTTGATAAAAGGAAATGATTAATAACAAATGACAGTTGTCAGTCTATTGAAGAATACAATATAATTCTTTATCTTGATATTTTGCGCAAGTTTGGCTGTAAACAATTTAGGTCAAGTATGAAAGCTTATAATAGACAAGAGAAGCCTAATCGAAGCGTCACTCAGTAATAATAAGCAGTAATTGTGTTCCATAGAATTGTGACATTATATTCCAGTTCAATTACTAAATTCCATTGAACCAATTTATAATAAACGTGATTGTCGATTTTAATTTATAATAATTCCATTTCATTCTTTAATAATGTAATGGTGTGACTATTTAAAATACAGATTGGATAAAAATATTTAACTATCTAATTCAATTCTGCTTCACAACACTCCAATGCTTTTTATTAATAGATTATTGGAGGATTTAGAAGATTTATTATCTACATGTGATTATATAGTTAATCTGTTACCATCTACTAATCTTACAGTTGGTTTATTAAACGGTCACGTCTTATCTGCTTGCAAAAAGGTTGGTATACACTTTTAAACGATTGGACGCTGGCTCGCTAGCCTGGAGGTCGGGTGTTCGATCCCTGCATTGGTCGAGAAAGTTCATCCAGATTTTCCGGCGTGGTTTCCCCTTGTCAGTAATGCAGGACGGAGGACCTGACAATGACAGCTGTCTAGTCCTTCGGATAAGACGAAAAACCGAGGTCCCGTGTATACATTGGAATGCACGTAAAAGATCCCTTGGCAGTTGGAATTCGATATAAGAGTAGGGGATAGTGCCGCTGCCCGGGCAAAATTTCTCTCATAGCACACTGTATGGCGTGTGCTCGTCTTCATTAGCCGAGTATAGGAGCAGAACAGTAGGACGTTAAACCTCATTTCATTTCATTTCATTTAAACGGTTACAGTCATCCTAATGTGGGTTGTACCATTCACCATTCCGGATGGGGTTGGTGGTATTACTATCAAATTTGCATAGTTACTAGCATTGGATACCTATCAGTATCTCAGACCAACCGCATTTTCATTGTTAAGGATACGGATTTTACATTTTGGCGCACTTAAAATATTTTCGCAAAGATGGTAGGTGGATTTGACTTGCTTTGTTCCTTTTTCGTATTTATGGTCCTTATGTTGGCAATACATAAAATGGTTTTGAAAATTTGAAATTGTTTCAATTTGAGATAAAGAGTGAAATATGAAATAAAGGCCACAATTTTTTAACTAACCCTTTAATACGGTTGCTTATCTGAAAATGATTTATGTTAGTTACGGAGTGTAAATTTTATATAACTATTTTTAAAACACTTTGAAGGGTACAGAGTAAGATATTTTGTTTGAACAATTGTTGTATTCAAGTCAAATAATCATACATCAGCATTAAATATTTGACTTTATTTATACTTTGATTCCTTTGACAATTGATTTATGAACTTTCCGTGATAGATGGAAGGAGCGAATTCGATTGGATCCCAGGGGCCATTAAACATATTTAAATTTTGATTATCACCTGAAACATATTTGTCTTTTTCTGATATCAAATATATTAACACCCATCAATAAAGCCAAAATATTTGGAATCGTTACATTATCACTCCTGTTGATATATTCATATCTAAAACTGTAGCAGTAGTTAATTGTTGTTCTAATGTACAGTATCATATATTATAGTATAAAATATAAAAATAACACCGATTTGCTTCACATGTTTCAATATAATTTATTGCTATAGAAACAAGTGTTTATATGTAAAACATCCAAAATGTATATATTTCATTCATGTAGAAACCAGTGTTTATGTATATAGAAAATATTTTATTCCAATAGAAACAGGTGTTATATCAAACGTGGGCTATATATTTCAATATATATGGAGATCATTGTTTATATATAAAACGTATATATTTTGTTCCTATACAGAAACCAGTATTATATAAAACGTATATATTTTATTCCTACAGAAACCAGTGTTTATCAATGTTGGTAGAGGTGACATAATCAATGATCAAGATATCATCCACGCTTTAAGGTAAAAACAAAACCAACCAAATGTTCAGATAGGAATCATTTTATAGGGGTTAACAAACAACGATGATCTCGTTATATATGTCCGGTATATTGTGATAATGCCTTTTCCTGGCGCTCAATTGCAGGGCCGTCATTTAAGAATAAAAGTAAACATTGGAATTATTCGAACAATATTGTGGCAAATCTTCTAAATTACCGTCTCTATATTAACTGTTTAATGTAAATAGTATAGACTGAGTGCATGACGGATTGTCGTGGGAAGAAAGAGGTATAGTTGTTCGGAAAGAACGAAAACCCGGGGTCCTGTGTATGCTATTGGTATGACGTTGAAGATCCAATGATAGTTGGAAATAGAAATAAGGAAAGAGCGTAGCGCCACTGTCCATGTAAAAAGTCCCCGATTTGTCATTCTCCTAGTTAGTGGTGCAGAAAACCCATTTTATTTTATTTTCAGCATGCATAGATTTGAAATTTTAACCGTCACAATTGAAACAATACGTGATGTTAAAAACGCTTCAATTTATTTTTCTTCCAGAATACAGAATCAGTATGTAAGCTAGTCTTCTTTAAAGACATCTATACAAATATCTGTGACTGTTGTTTGTTTGTTTGTTTGTCTGTCTGTTCAGGGTTACGCTTGGGCTGTCCCGAGGCAGAAATTTGGTGTATAGAGATTGCTTGGACAGGAAGTAACATAGGACTAGTGGCGGTGGACTATCACTTCCGGGTTCGGAGTTATGCTACTTCCGGTTCATGGTGATACCGATGATACGCCGGTTCAACCGCTAGTTTATTATAAAGAGATACATTTATAAATTTTTGTTTTTTAGGGCTAATTGGATATCAAAAGCCATTCTAGACGTTTCAAAAATAGAACCAATTCCAGAAAATAGTATTTTATGGAATGAACCCAATGTTTTTATTACTCCACATGTAGCTTTTGGTCCAGGAACATCTTCATCCGCATATTTAAAGGTATGGCTAAACCCCTGATTAGTGGTGCAGGATGGAGGGTCTGGCAAGGACAGCAATCTAGTCATTCTGATGGTACGAAAACCGATGTCCTGTGTACACATTGGCGTGCACGTAAAAGATCCCCTGGCAGCTGGAATTCGATATAAGAGTAGGCCGTAGCGCCAGTGTCTTGGCAAATTTCCCTCATAGCACTCTTTATAGAGCGCATGCTCCCGTCTTCATTAGCCCGGTCGGAGCAGAACAATAGGAAGTTAAACCCCATTTCATTTTTATTTCCACTATTTCCATTGATCACCGATCCGGTAGTATTGATAACACATTCTATGTATGTACATAGAAAAAGATGGTTTATTTCATTTAATATTATTCAAATTGTCTTTGGCATGCTCATGACACGACTAATGGTCGGATAATAGGACAGGTGTATTCTATATACTGCATTCTATATAGATAATCAGATTGTTAATCTTTGTTTTTAGTTTCCGTTTATTTTGTTGCAGCAAGCAGAAGAATATTTAATAAATTATAAAAGATACATAAACAACCAAGAACTGAATAATACAGTACCCTGGAGTAGAGGATATTAAAATTGTGTGATAATAAAAAGACGGGGAACGAGAAAACACTAACAAACAATCACATATCAAAGTTATATACATACTCGGAGAGAAAGAAACACAATTTATATAGAAACTGAAAAACATGTATCGAAAACTTCTGTGATAAATGTTTATTTAGTTGACTGAAAAATAAATGTGGGAAACAAGGTTTTAGCTTCGAATCCGAGACATTCTATGGTCTACTGCGATCCCAATCCCAGCGTAAATATAACTGTATTGCTCCAAGAATAATTGGGGTTTTGGGATATTCGATACTAAATTTGACGCTTCTCTTTCTACGGTTGTTTTTCAATATGCGATAAACCGCTCAAATAAAATTACGAAAATGTGGCTGTCAGGCGAACAGGGGTTCGATCCGTGTATAATACCCTAAAGATACATTATGTAAGATTTGATGAAGAGCTGACTAGATAATGAAAAGGGAATATGTTTAAAAATTTCAGTAAAATTACTCGAATTCTGAGCGGAGTTATCGTCGATTGCAGACCAGTGTAGCCACGATTATCCCAACTGAAATTAAATCATTATCTGCCAATCGTAACAGGAAATTAAAGATGCCAAACTGTCATTGTAGTTTATTAGGGACCTCGGTGACTCAGTGAGGAAGGCGCTAGCCCACTAATCAGGGGTCCGGGGTTCGAGAACTTTCTATAGGATTATTAGCTGGTTTACCCTTGTCATTGTTGCCGGACGGTGTATAATGAGACAAAAAAGGGCCTCTGAAAAACAAAAACGATTGGCAGTTGGAAATCGAAAGACAAAGTAGGCCGTAGCGCTGATATCCGAGCATTTTTTCTTCATAGAGCAGGTGTACAAACGGGGGATGTTAAACACCATTTTATTTCAAAACAATGATTTATTCACATCATTCATCACTTAAAGCATTCCAGAAGCAAAACCGATCACATTGAAATTGATAGATTGGTTTAAAAATATGTTACAAGCGGTGATTGAACAAAATACACTCTTTATTCTTTCAAAATTACCTTTGTACTTTAAAGTATTCACAATACTGGAAAGGTATCAAAATAAATGACTTAATGAGTAAGATGTTGGTTCGCTAACCTGGGGTCCCGTGTTTGGTCCCTGTGATGACCGAGAAAGTTCATCATGATTTTCCGGCGTGGTTCCCCCTTGCCAGTGGTGCAGGACGGTGGGCCCTGGCAGTCCGGATTCGATATAAGAGTAGGATATAGCGCCGCTGTCCGGGCAAAATTTCCCTGATAGCATACGGTATCCGTGATGTCCGTCTCCAAAGCCCATAACAGTAGGACGTTAAACCCCATTTTATTCATTCATTAATGGATCGTCTCATTATCAACCTTCAAATCATAATATAAACCCAGATGTGTAAAATTTCGCGAAATCTTTGAAAAGCTAAAGGTTTTGATAATCACGCCATTTAATGTTTTGTTATTCTAAGTTATTATAAAGCCGAAACGAAAATAACACCTGATTTTAATAACCGTGTCTTGTTTTCAAATTTGTATATATTTTTTATTTCGTTTAATATCCATTTTCTACATCAACTTCACCAACAAGTGGTCTCTTCTGTACAAAACGTTGACAGTTTTCTAAAAAATCATCGATTAACTGGAAGTACAAAATATAGTTAATACCCCGGTTATTAATAAAAGTTATTAATAATATTATCCTATTCAAGTGGGGAAATAAAACTTACATACTATGGTTTTGGGTAAAAAGTACAAATTATAGTTAATACCCAGGTTATTAATAATATTGTCATATTCAAGTGAGGATATAACTATACATACTATGGATTGGGTAAAAATGTGTCTCGTGTAGTCCTGGGCTTGGAAAGTTACTCAGTATCATAAAACCCAAATACCCTTTTCGGTGACAAATAGATACTGGGCAAGAAAATGATATTCTGGTATTATTATATAATACAGATATATCTATACCAAACCTTCCCAGCACGGCAAAAGTAAGGCTACCCCCCACCCCCAATTCGCTTTATTCTCTAAAGAATAAATTATACCACCCGTTCCAATATTATTACCACCTAGAAGGGGATTTTTGGGGCTGTCACACATTGACGTATAGCATCAGCGTATGCCGACGTATAAGAAATTTAGCAAATATGCAGGTGTACGTTGAATAGGTTATGGGTTCGTTTTTAACAAGTTGCGAGGACGCTGAAATACGATGATATAAGTTGTTCGCCGAACGCGGCCCAAAATTTTGTGCATGCATAAAATTTTCAGCGTACGCCGACGTATTGCTTACACGTTAGAAGTACGCGTTCACGCACGTTAAATGTAAGTTACTCAAAAGTTGACACACATCGGCTACCAGCAGGGCAACTGAGCAGCGTACGCGTTACTGATTTCTAATCTATAGGCAACGTACTTCTGATGTCATTAGAACTAACTGAACGTGTTTGAAACGTGTGTAAAGGTGAACATGTGCAGAAGTCTACAATCATGGCGGAACCTGAGAGGCTGCGACGAGAGTACCAAAAAATCTTGAGCGGAGGTCGAGGCCTGCTTGAGAGGACGCATTGGATTCTGCAAGAGGGCGATATTGGCTATCATCGTCAGAATATTGGTCAGATGAAGATGGGCACGAGGGTGGGCGTGGAGGTGGTAAGGATGAAAATTGCTTAGGTCAGCCCCTTCCTGCAACTTTCCTTGATTTTTTGGGAGGCATGTTGATCGATCGACGTCCACTTCAATAATTACTTGTGGTTCTAGAGAGCCCCATCTTCAATAGAAGGCTTGATTTCACTTTAACTACGTACATCTTATCAAGGCCGTCAAGTAATACCCTACATATCTCGGCACTAGTTTCGATTGGGTACAAGCCCAACTTGTAAGCCTATCAAATTCCTCGATCGTCGCGAATACCAAGCCTCGCGCTTTCCAGTTAAGTTCAAGGTTTATTCAATGTCAAGGTTTCCGTGGAGGTCGCGATGTCAGATAACATAGCTATAAGTTCGGGAAAATAAAGCTATTTCACACACAGTAAACAAGCAACGGCCAGATGTTGTAAAACTCGCAGTCGTTGCTTTAGGAACATGAGAGAGCCCCCGCTTTTATATCTGACTGTCACGTGGTCGTCGAAGTATCCCCAACCCGCTATGCATAAGTTAGGCATAGGTTAGACTAACGTTCATGAGTTCCGCATAAGTCAAGAACGCTTTACATGTATAAGTTATGTTTACGTTGGGGATAAGTTATGAATAAGTTACTCATACGTTAAACATAGGTTATATAATCGTTCGGCGGATTATAAGTACGTTGCATATGCGTCCAAAAAAGATCGTCCTCTCGATTTTTAAATTCAGCTTCAGCGTATGCCAGCGTATTGGATAATTATTTCATACGCCGGAATAAGTTGTCTAAAACGTTATAATGTGACAGAGCCATTTATGACCTCCATCATGGGGACATACATGTAAAGGTCCACTTTCAAGAACACGTATGTTTTAAGCTCGGTTATCCATAATATATTGAACTATTTTTTTCTTTTAGTGGAGTAATCTCGACTGTTCCTTGATCTAAAGCTCCCGTGTGCCTCGTGTACCTACGTTTCGCTTGAGTTAGGGTCTTGTAAACTGACTCTATAACAAAAGCCCCGTGTTGGCTTTTCTGTCATTTAGCTCCTTATACGCCGATTTATTACGTTATTATTATCCCATTCTAGGCGATAATAATATTGGCTTGGGTGAAAATACACGCACATACTTTATGACTGTACATTACCTTTTGAAAATGTTCCTCTCTATACAGACCATAAGCTGTATGATATGTAATAAATACACCGGGTTCCTCCCATAATGGGCTTTTAGTCGGTAGTGGTTCTCTTTCAAACACATCTAATATTGCTTTTGATATCCAACCATTTCTAAACATTACAAATATAGATTTTATAATATACAATATAATTATTAACTGTCCATTGCGTTCTTTGTTAGCTTAAACAAAATCGATAAAGTCCACGAAAGCCAAATTAAATGCGACAACAACAGGGCAACTCTATTTGGCTACAGGGTCTTTTAATGAGTCCCATCCCAGCGATTCAAATTTGGGATGTTTAAATCAATTGTCGAGAAAAATACGTTTAAAATCTTCTTTGTCAACAAGACGATAATATACGCAAGGTTTGCCAACTAGCACAAGCAAATTTGTTTTGTTTTAATATATAGAGTATTTTTATATCAGACTTTTCGATCTTAAAAACGCAGATCTCCTGAATGATCAACATGAACATGCTAGAAGATAAAGTTCTCTTTTGTAAGGGGTATTCATTTTTAAGGTATAGCAAACAAATTTTAGTTCAGTTCAACATTACTACACAGTTAGTCCTACCCATATTGGCAAAATATATAATTCCTTTAACATAAACAGATGCTTACTTGGGAAGTATTGTGCTTTTTTACCCAGCAACTACTTTCTGTTTTAATACAAATGTAAGAATGTGATATAAATATAGCGAATGTTAAGTTTTATGAATTGGCACCAACGAATGTATAACCGATTGTAGTAATTGTGCAATTGTCATACCTCAAAGCATTAATGATTGAATGTTCGTTAATTATATCACCTCTTCCTACATTAATAAAAACTGGTTTCTGTAGAGATAAAAATATAATAATATATTAATTAAACACATAACTAGCCAGATTGTTCACATATACCCCAGAAGTAAAAATATATAGTGCTTTATGTAACGAATTTTGTTATAGCGTAATAAGGTACATGTACATTAGAGTAAATGGGCTTACCTGTGTTCCGTAAAAGGAGTCGAGGTGGCTCAACGAGTAAGGTGTTGGTGGACAAATTTTCCAGCGCGGTTTATCTTTGCCACTGGTACAAGACGGGGGGGGGGGGGGGGGCAAGTCTAGAAAGGACAGTGTCTAGTCGTTCGGATAGCACGAAAACCCGAAGTTCCTTGTACATATTGTCCATCGCGTAAAATAGCAATTGATAATGGATTTCGATGTAAGAATAGAAATGTAGGATGTTAAACCGCACTTGCAGTGTGTAAACATTTACCTTTTTGCAAGCTGATAAAACATCACCGTTTAATAATCCAACAGTGAGATGAGTAGATGGTAACAGATTAACTATATAATCACAAGTAGATAATAAATCTTCTAAACCCTCTAATAATCTGTTAATAAAATTAATGTAGATAGTAAAAGATCAAATCGACTGAAATCCGGAACCACAAAAAAATATTTTAAGATGGACAGATCAGTTAATCCTTTAATGTGAGAGCAACTTCGTCCCCTCTGGTAAGTATCGGTATTTAGGGGAATGTGAATATTTCACCATGTTACTCTAAGAACTACATTAAAAACATTATGCATCGTAAATGTTATGTGGGGTTCCAATCAACTTAGTGTCATTCAATAGACAGTTTTGATGCCACGTGGTAGCCACGGTGGCTCAGCGCTTAAGATGCTGGCTTGTTAAACAGATTAGACTATGTCCCCGGGTTTGATCCCGGTGTTGGCCGAGACAGTTTCCCGAAATTCTCAGAAGTGGTTTCCCCCGTGTCAGTAGCACGTCTCTAATCGTTTGGAATAGGACAACAAACTGTGGTACCGTGAACACTTTGGCGCGCACAGAAAAGAATCCTTGAGTTGGAATTCGATATCAGAGTAGGCCGTAGTGACACTGTACCGGCAAAATTTCTCTCATAGCACACAATTCATGACGTATGCCCGTTTACATTCGCCCAGTCGGTGCAGAACAATAGGACTTTAAACTCCATTTCATTTCATTTTCTTTGTTGCCACGTTCCTATAAGTATAGTACATGTACAATATAACAGTCGTGAAATAAACATGTGACAATCTGACGAAGAATTAATCGATAATCGATCCTGATTGATCCTATACTGATATCGAAGACGTAAATTGCGTACTTGTATTCATCGATATATGATTCTCTGTTTTCTATGGGCACAGGTCGTCTACTCATAGCTATCACCTTCATTGACAAAGATTTACACAACTTGGCAGCTAAAATAAATATGTCATCTGATTATACTCATGCATCACGAGGTGAACCAGTCTTAGTTAACTATTTCTTCTATAGTTCAATAATTCAATTATTTCGAAACTTGCACATTGAAAAATACCATGGACTCAGTCAAGAAATGGAAAATAGAACATTGTAATGATGTTATAGGCCCACAGGAAGAGCAGTATACTGGAGCCCCCTATCTTGGCAATCACTCATGTGAATGAAATGTACACGGTCGATAAGATTTACCACATTTATTATAGTGTTTAAACATTTAAAAAAAACATGTTGTACATAGATTAACATGGGATGGGAGCACTATGCTCATGAAGCCCCTGCTCAGCGATCCCATGCAATAATACGACCCTGACGTCAGGTAGTGCAAATAATTATATCTTTTATGCTACTCTCACACAGTGACAAATATCGTAGCTAATGGGATAACATAGCGAATGCAATTCGCCGGCAATTCGCAATCGCAATGATCATAAGGCGATCGTCAGACATTCATGTGTTTTAAAGCATTCGAAATCTTAAATGGAGTGATGCAAATATTAGGACATACTCCTACGCAATGCAAACATATTCTCATTGGTTTCAAAACACTTTCGTAAGCGCTCACAAGGCAAGCTTATTGAAATTCGGGCCTGAGGAACGTTCAACAATTTTGCTGTGTACTAATAGAATTGATCGACCCGTTTTAAATCCAATGAAATCGAAGCCGGGAGATTATCTCGCGTTGGTATTTTGCGTTCGTTGTCTTAACTGAATGTTAAATAATCAATCTGAGAACATATTAAGTCGTGAGAAATTTGATATTTTAGCGAAAAATGCAAATGACGCATGGCTTGAAAACACATTTTTCATGTATACTCTTCAAAAAAGTAGGGGATATTGAAATGCAAATACCTATGCAGGTTGTGATATGATAAATAGTCATGGACACTTGCCATGCTTTGAGAATATGTTCACAGATGAAGAACTTATCGCCCCAACAGAACCACTGAGCTGCACATGCGACACGCAATAGCGCCATACACGTGGGAGGGGTTCAATTGTCAGATTTGACACTTCAAGGAAGGGTTGATGAAAACTGCCGCGTGCTGGTTTATCTAGCAATGTATGTTTGCTTTCTTATCGGTTCTTGCATAAGATTTACTGTTTAGCGTATCTTTGCTTTAGTGTGTTACGTTTAATTTGATCGGGAGAGGTGTTCGTCGAAGTCAACGTCAACCGACAACACTACAAGAATTGGCCGTGGCACTGCAAGAGGAGTTGGTCAGATTGCCCCAAACCGTGATTGGACGGTTGATTAGGAGCATGCCACGACGAACTGCTGAATGTCCATTTTCACTTTAGACGGTGTATCTCTCTAAACTGTTTATGTTCATGTATAGGCAGTTGGCCTGCTATTAACATACACTGGTTCCCTCTAATAAAAACAGCAGTGCATTGCCGCAGTTGTGTATTGTTTCTGAATATCCCCTACTTTTTGTAAAGAGTATATATCAGAGAGTTACGTTGGAGGTATATTTTGAAAATTACTCACTTGGTTTTCCGATAAACCCAAGTCCTAATATACCAACCCTTACTTCTTCTAAAGGTCTAAAATCCATCACAGTACTGCTGTAATAAATAATATATGGGAATACCCCTTTGGAAGTTGTATCCTCGTACAAATATTTAGGAATAATGTTTACACTTAAACACCCTAGTCCAACAAGCAAAGAAAGCTTGTAACCTGTTAAAAATCTTCATCAGTAAGTGTAATATTAATATATCTAGTTCATTGTTTTTATTTGATAGAATGATAGTGCCTAATCATTGTTATGGGTCACAAGTATGGAGATACAAAAATATCCCCAGAAACTTTGCATTTAAATTTCTGTATATTTAATATATTCTGCAATAATCTCTTGTACATCTACTTCTTATGCTGTCATTTATTGTGAGCTTGGTCGAAGACCTCTTGGTATTATATACCAAACAAACTGTATTCAGTATTGGTTACAGCTAATATGCCCCAAAACAGATATCCAAGAGCATGTTATGATTTGTTCCTTTCGTTAGATAACGCTGGAAGAATAACATGGGCTTCAAATATTCGAGCTTTATTTGGGAACAACAATCATTTGGTAGTAATAGAGCTTTCATAGACTATATCTAGTGACATAGCATCCAGTTGAAAAAAGTTAATTATTGTCAGTACAAATTACTATTAGAATCCGAGAAATACTTGTTAAACAGTTATTTAAACATACATTATGCAAGAGCTAAATCTGCCTATTGCAGGTCTTTCCTTGGGCCTGAAATGTTATATAAACTATTAGACATTAATTAACGTATCCAGACCATAATCAACTCTCGATGTCAACGCTAGCCTGCGATAATTGTTGGATTATGATCTGATTTGCTGCATAACTTTCCTTCTCGATTTAACGATTAATTGGATAATCGAGACTATGATTTTTGTAGTACCGACTTTAGTAGTGAGGACCGAGGCTATGCGGAACTTTCGATCGCTTATTTCTCGGTTCATAGTGGATAAATTTGACTGAAATTTTCAGCAAATTGCCTTTACATTATCTAGTTTTTAACTATTATAGTGAGAACTGCAAACTCGTTATCTAATCTCCCATAATGTATCTTTAAGTAAATTATAGAATAGCCTTGTCAAGATTCCGTTGTAGTAATCACATGTCAAAGCAGGATAGAGTGTGTAAATATTGTTTAATTGTATCTAACAAAAAGGAGGGTAGGATGGTCGAATGGTTAACGCGTGCGCGTTGGATCAAGTCTGTCATTGAGTCAAGTGGCGTGATTTCGATTCCCCGCTTGTACGTGACAAGGACTACGGCCGCCTATCCAACCTCGCGAGTTTTCTCCTGGTTCTCCGGATTCCTCCCACTCCTAAAGACCACTATTGAAATAAAATTGAATCACACGTTTGTCCCGAAATGACCTAGTTTTTGTGGAGTTAACGTTAAACGCAATCTCTCTCATTACGTTGAAGATGAAATTCATTTTCTAGTTGTTTGTCCAATATATAATCATTTGAGGCTAGAATTATTGCCTAAATTAAATAATTTTGTTCTGAAAAATAGTTTAATGATCGACAGTGATTGTAATAAACTGGCTAAGTTTATATTAATGGAATGAGGTTAAAATGTAGATACCATAAAACATTAACGTCCTACTGCTTTGCTCCGACTGGGCTAATGAAGACAGGCATACGCCTACTATTATATTGAATTCCAAATGCCAAGGAATCTTTTACGTGCACGCCAATGTGTACGCTGGACCTCATTTTTTTCGTTTCACTCGAACGACTATACGCTGTACCTAGTCAGGCCCTCTGCCCTGCACCAGTGACAAGGGGAAACCACGCCAGAAAATCACGATAAACTTTCTCGGCCAATGCATGGATCGAACACACGACCTCCAAGTCTTATTCACTGAACTAACAGTCTAATTAAAGTTTGAATATATTAAATAATTTCTAAATGCCATGTATTTAATATAAATAAAACTTAATATTTGAGATTTGTATATATTAGTGTCATAATGTGAAATATTATTTAAATTATGCCCTAACTGTAAATGATTACATTACATTGTAAATTACAATGATTACTATTTTTGTTATTATAATATCAATTGAAAATTACAATTGTAAATATATTTCTTGAACACAATGTACTATGGGCCGGAGGTCTTGAATACTGAATAAAGTTATTATTATCATTTATATTATTAAATGAATTCTTTAAATGAAATCTAGACGCACGGTTAACTATATATACATGTATATTCAAAACACAACACAACACAAGATATATGGATATAACAGAGAACTAGTTATATCCATATACATTGCATTGTGTTTTGTTGAGAACTCTGTAATGTAAAATATCTAATAATTTAATCTGTCATATTGGCTTAACATATTTTACTTATTTGCTCCGTCACACATAAATCTATATTTGACGATCCTCATGACGTGTATCTAATCATGGAACAGTTACACCTGGCACAGATTACTCCAGGATTTAAGGTCTGCTTAGAAAGTTACAAGATCGAAAACGAACTTAACTACTGCATGAATTATTCAAGGATCTGAATTAAAAACAATTTTAAGTACGATATCCTCAATTTAATTTATCTATTTTATAACTTTACTAGGGAATTGGGCTTTTCCATCATTAATATATGTTAACTCCCCGGGCGACAGGTAGTGAGGACTTATCGATCTTAAAGCATATACGGCATAAATTTGTATTTGTCACGGAATACTACATAAAGACCGTATAAACATTTATTAAATCTTCAAAACTTCGTAACTTCTCAAAAATAAGTTTTGAAAACTAATAAATTAGCTGGAAGACAAAAAAAGTGACATCATGGAGTGTTGAACAATGCATAGAGGTGTATCTGGCTAGACAACAAAACACATGACCATGGCAGCTAATGTTATATCTGAAATCGTTGAAAATCAATAAGATCCTTCGACTCATGACTTTAATACATTTAACTCTGGCAGTAATTATCGAAAATCGTTGACAATCAATTTAAATTAACAAAAAGGGTATATTGTCTATGTTTAAAGGTTCAGTAAAGCAAATTGTTTACATTATATCCCAAATGCAATAAATACGTAGGCAGTATTTAATGGTATTATTGGTATTATGTATTCACCAAGAATGATTTGGCCTGTACGAAGAAACTTTGTTCTGAGAGCGGCTCTACGATCACTTTTTGTTTCGATTTCCATCTTTCACGAGATCTTTAACATGGCATGCTGTATAATATAAAACAAGCCATCCAAGCCACTAGACATCTTTACTTACCAAGCCCTGGGGAAAGTATACTAGAAAATTCCTAGGAATTTTCTCGACCAACCCGGGATCGAACGCGGGATCTCTTGGCTAGTGAGACAGTGACATACTCACTATGATCTTAAACTCAATATTAAAACTATATGGTGGCATGTTTACCGCCGTGGTTCCCCTTGTCCATGATGCAGGACGGAGGGCCTGACAAGGACAGCTGTCTAGTCGTCCGGATGGGACGAAAAACCGAGGTCCCATGTACACATCGGCGTGCACGTAAAATATCCCTTGACAGTTGGATTTCGATATCAGAGTAGGTCGTAGTGCCGCTGTCCGGGCAAAATTTCTCTCATGGCAAACTGTATGGCGTATCCCCGTCCTCATTAGCCCAGTTCGGGGCAGAACAGTAGGACGTTAAACCCCATTTCATTTCATGGTGGCATGTTGGGCCTTTTGTTTGTGCAAAATCATAAATCGTTCAGATTTTGTAGCGGCGCGAAGCTTCGTCGATCCATTTTCGAGAATATATTAGGTCTATTTTGGTTTTAAAAATATCAAAAGTTTATTCCTTACAAAGCCCATTCTTTTTTCCTTTGCTTTTCGTATAGCTCAAGTATTTTTCTTTCACTCCATAAAATATAAGAGAGTATATACTGTGGTATGGTTACATCCATTAAACTGTATATCCTTGTGTAGATGAACGGTGGTGGTTTCTTACAACATAAACATAACAGATTAAGTGCAATTAATTAGTTTATATATAAAATTACAACAAAAGTCATTAACCTCGTGGGGTGGCCGATCACAAGGTCTGCCAATGAGTCAAGTACGAGATAAGGAGTGGTGTAGCCTGTCTAACCTCGTGGGTTTTTTTCCGGATCCTCCGGCTTCCTCCCACTAGTAACGACCCTAACGGACAAGCGAATTAAATTATTGAAATAAAATTGAACCACATGACAATCCCGAAATGACCCACTTTGTGTCAAGTGGACGTTAAATCCTCTCCCCAATCGGGAGATAATTTAGAAGACCGGCGTTATGGAAGAAATAAAACCACATGCGCCTGTAGTGATGAAAAACTCTTTCCATTATTAAGCTCACACTGATCAGCAATGAATATTCCCTGGGCACCTAATGTCACTGATAGGGATGACATCGGTGCGGCTTAATTGTAGAACATTTTTTTTTTTGAAGTATTAGAAAAATAAATAAAAGATTTTGAAGTAAATGTAAGTAAAAATTTTTTTCCTATTTAGTGTAAATGGGTATATAAAAGAGCAAAAGGCACCTTTCTGCCCCGACTAGTTTTACTCTACAACGTCTTATGTAAACAATGCACGTGTCGTGCCACTGAGTCAATGATCGGCAAATAATAACTGATTGGTTAAGCACTAAAATCAATCTAATATTATCCAATCAAATTACTAAAATTTGGATTTTATCTTAGCTAAAATTTCGTGAAACAGGCCCCTGTTCTGAATCGAATAAGGGGCAAATAATTCGTCTTAACCACCCCACCCCACTCCCTAAAAACAAAACAAAAAGACAACAAACAAAACAGAGAAGATACAAGTGTCTCACCCCTTGTTCTCTCCAAATTGCGAATGGTATTTCATTTCCTGAAAAATATAAATTCCAGCTTAGTTACTCGGCGTTGCACGGGTTGATTTCTTATACAGGGGGGCTGCGTCGTAATGAGTAAGACAAGACGCTGGTTCGTTAACCAGGAGGTCTTGGGTTCGTTTCTATGGAAGGGTATCGCTGCCAATATTAAATGCTCTGCTACAATGTCTTTTCCATTGATTATATGTAAAAAGTACAATGTACAAAGTCCTAATTCCGGTAATGATAAAATCAAAATACCTTTAAGGCAAGAGTTAAATTTTGCTAATGGCATGGGTTTACATAAAACACGTGCTTGATCGGGTTATTTTTACTCTGTTGTGTACAAAGCAGTAGTCCAGTCGATAAGTCCCGCCCCAAAAAGATCACGTGAGCGTTTTAAATGGCGGGCAACTAGGGCAGTGATCATAATTTCGAAGTATGGCGTAGATGGATCGATGCGTGCAGTTTGGCGACTCCATTGTGCAAACTACAATATTGGAAAAGTTGAATCTCCAAAAGGAGAGAGAGATCATTTAGGGACTAACACATGGTTCAATTTTATTTCAATAATTCGCTTGCGCGTAGGGGTCTTTAGGAGTGGGGGGAAACCGGAGGACCCGGAGAAAACCCACGAGGTTGGACAGGCAACCCTACTCCTTGTCACGTACAACCGGGGAATCGAGACCCCGCCAGTTGACTCAATGACAGACCGTATGATATAGCCCGCGCGTGCTAACCATTCGGCCATCCAACCCCCATCTCCAAAAGGAACATGAATGCATGTATGGTTCAATTCCGTTCAGTATGTACGAAGATATGATGAATTAATATCTTTTCATTTGCCCATTTTTAATCCGATTGAATCCAAGCCAGAAGATAATCAACCGTTGATGTCTAGTCTTTGTTTTCTTGATTAAATGTTAAATAAGCAATTCAAGTACGTATTATTCACAGGAGCATTATAAGTTCAAACAAACCTGCAGTTATGCTGTGGAACCATTTTATATTGGGGTACTTAGTAATGATCTTCTCATATATAGTTTGACTTCCAAAACATACATTTATATCTGTAATTCCTTCGAGTTCCTCGTCCGTTGGGATAATACCTAAACAATAACAAAAACGATAGTGGTAAATGGACAAGGAAGTGGGTATGACGTAATCGACGCCATTTTGTATTTATTACGTCATATCAAACATAGAGGTTCATCAATTATGTTAGAGGAACAAGCTTGCCAAGTTGCACGTACTTGAAAAAACAAACGTCAGCACTATGAGCTAATGATGATGGTCATTTTACTATGTATGCAGTTGGCTATGGGAAAAATTTTGCTCTGATAGCAGTGCTTAGTCCTACTCTTAAAGATATCAGGGGATCTTTAATGTGCTGCTATCGACTAACTACCTAATAAAAAGAGTATAGGCTTATTACCATAACGTTCTAAGTATACAAAATAAAATTTCAGGTTGGGTTGAATTCTTTGTATATAGTCTCCCACTCCAGCATGATGACAAACGACTAGAATACGCAGATCTTCCATCATGCATCTAAAAATATATTTATAAATATTTGAAAACGTGTATTTCGGATTTGTTTGTCGAACCTCATGCTATAAATTTAGAGAGGTACTGATGTCAATAGGACCTATTGCTCAATAAAAATATATCGAAACAGAAAGTGCTTATCGACATTATAGCATTAGATAATTTCTTAAGAAACCCGTTAACCGGTCATTGCTTATCGATTTCATTCGAAAAATTTGGAGTTGTACGCTTTTCGTTAAATGGTATGGGATGTAACGTTTCTAGCAACCGGGCCTTTACTCTGTCTTTTAAATGCCCTATATGACCTCGGGTAATGAAGTGTTTATCTCCTTGATTTGAGATTTGTATTACAGTACAATTGTACGAGGGCTGGCTGAAAAGTTCTAAGTCTATCTGCGAAAGACCTGTACGCATGTATCTTTGATGGGCTTAGTCTTTTCAGTTGCAGGTACTTAGTGACTGCCCTATAGCCAGTTGTGTCCATTTCTGATGCTTTTATTGCGTAGATTCACGAGACGGTGTTGCAGTTCTTATGTCTATGATTCATTCAATGATTGTCATCGAGTCTGTCTTTGAGTAGGGTCGCCTACTGATAGAACATGTGCGGATCTTGATGAATATGGCTCATAATTGGTCCAACACAAGGGCGTCTGGCACGCATTCCGGCAGAGCGTAGTCGCCGACGAACAGTCTCAGCGCTAATAATTTCAGGACCCCTCACAGTAACAACGCCACAGAAAGGAGGCAGTGTTGATTCTGCAGATGTGCATGGCAGTCACGCTTTGCCATCCAGAATGTAGTCGATTTATAGTGAACTCGGACTGCTGGATACGATTGACCAGTCTCCGGATGGTAGTGTGATGACACTCAAACCTTCTGTCTACTGCCTTGGTACTCATTTCCCCAGGAATTAGCGCAATGGCGCATTCTCGATGTTAACCTTGGCATATCGTTGCATCTACCACAGAACTGTAGAGCTTGTGTCGACCCTACTATTCTTTAATAGCTACATTTTATACCTCATGTCCCACCGTGAAATTATGAATTTTCAGCAATCCCGTTTACAATAAAACAAATTTGTTTGAGAAAATTGATCCGCGAAAACTTCATTTTACATGCAGTTTAAAAGGCAGATTTCGGTGTTCTTTTAACTTTCATAAACATAATGGCATCACGTAATGAGAGTTAAGATTTTGTCGTTTTCACCGCGTTTTATAATATTTGTGGAATGTCAACATGTTTACGAAACTAACCTGACTAAAATCTGATTTAATATAAGAGAATGATAATAATTAAATTAAAAGCAATAGGGGAAACAATAAATAAAAAAAAATGATAAAAATTCGCATGTTTACATGAGCCAATTGCCTATTTATTATGTAAGTAATAAATTATATAAATTTATGATAGCACATATCAGGTTGAGTTCCAAAATATTTCGTGGATTCCGCTCAATAGTGTCATTTCAGAAATCAGACTGATCTTGTCAACTGATCTTGTCATTTAAATTTTATAATATTTATAACTAAAGAGGGTGTGCTTACCTACAGTGTCAGGTACGTATTATTAAATAATGTACCTTTTATGTTCGTTTTGCTATTCTATAGGATATAGTTTCTTTTATAGACACCAGCTTGTGACTTGAATTATAATTAAGTAACAAGAAAGTATAACCCGTTAATTTTATTGTAATAACAATTTAAGATTATCTTCCTGGAACAGAAAACCCTAAAATGTTAAAAATCTATAGGGTTCATCCTCTCCGATCCCATTGTTTCTGTAGCCTTTAACGCGCCAATTGTTGACGGGTCGACGGACATGTCGCAACGACATAATCACACCGAACTTTGTGCGTGTGAATAAATGAATTAATTATTGGTCTGAGGTAGATTCTAAGAACTATATAATGGATTAACGCGTGAAATGGCGGGGTTTCGTTTCCCCGATTGTACGCGGCAAATAGAAAGGTCACTTGTCCAACCTTGTGAGTTTTCCCCGGTTTACTCCCACAGCAACAAAGCCATATACGAGCAAGCGAATTATTGAAATAAAATTGACCCATGTATTAGTCCCGAAATGATCTAGTTTGTGTCGAATGGACAAACTCCATTTCTCTATCGCTCTCTCAATCTTGTTGGTTTTCTGGATAAGTCCTTATAACCCCTGCAATGTTTTTGTCTTTGGGGTATGTCATTCGGCAAAGGGGGTTAACGGTATGTGAAATTTATTGTTGATGTTTTGATAACTGCCTGTAATTCATTTTTATTACATTGTATCGATCGGCGAAGATCAACGAAATTATAAGCCCATCTGTCTGAGTTTGTATAGTTGGGACTAAGTGTACTAAACATTTGAGGGAGTATCACTTTAAATAAAAACTATGCAAATGTACAAAAACTCTGTGTTATCAAACACGACACATGTGCGTGCATAATTATTGTAAGGCTAACTCCATTTTAAACGTTCATATCCAGAAATGTTAGTTATCATGTACTTCAATAATGTTATCATTCGACGGCTGAATATCGACAGGCTACTTCTTCGTCTATGACACCAATGTTTGAAATTAATATGTAGATTCTATCGCGTTAACAGGGCTTTCCGTAAATTCCAGAACAGAACGTTGCGGAGTGCTGGATATCGAAACGTTTTGCCCTCCCGTGCATGACTACAATGCTTCAATCATGACCCCACTGCTCTGCACCAAATTTGAAAAGAGTCTGTTATAAAACTGTAGCCTATATCATAACAAGGTGTTTCGGCAAAAGGGAGATTACTCCGGAAGAAAACGTGGCTGAGTACTGAATATCAATAGGATCCCCTCCTTATGTTTCACGCCAAATTTGAACAAAAAATCTGAAGCCTCTATCACGTTGACAAAATTTTTAAAATCGACGGGATTTGTACTTTCATGGCCCCAATACTTTGCATCAAATTTGAAAAGAATATGTTAAAAACTGCTCCACACCAGATTTAAAGAAAATCGATTAAAAACTATGGATTCAAAAGCTTTCATAAGGTTTTCGGGACAGGGGAGGTAAATCGACCGGATTCATTATCTTGACTCCAATGTTTCACACCAAATTATACATGTTCAACACAAAGTTCAAAATTTCAGGTACTGGCTCATTATATGAAATGATATGGGGTTTAATGTCCTACTGTTCTGCTCTGACAGGACTAAACAAGACGTATTAGAGCCAGCATTTTGTCAGGTAGATCAACAACTAAACTGGTTATTTGTAGGCCTGTAAAATGTAAAGATGGACCTGCAATTGTTCTAGAAGTATTTCCTGTACCTATAGCTATGAGTACCATCATTATCTTTTGTTAGAACATAATTCTAGAAAAAGCAAATCAGGAATGAACAAAAATGTTTAAGCTTTTATTTATTGGCTATTCATATTTTAGACAAAACAGTTTACTTTTACAATTGAATGAGAGAGATGCTTTAAGCTAACTCTTTATCAAAAAACACCACAATAATGTGAATAAATAGAAAACATTGGAATACTTGTAAGTAAATACTATAGTCTTCTTCATCAGTCCCATAAACTTTTCCCCTTGATTGGCCTATGTGTCCTTTAAATGCACTCTAGTAGTCAGTTTGTGGAAAGAGAAAAAATCATGATACAGGCAAAATCCTTTCAAAACCCTTCGAATTTTTCTGACCTAAATGTAAGGTAGTTCCTGTTCCCTAGATTACTGTTTTTCACAGATTTTACATTGATTTGTATACTACCAAAATACTTTTCATTTACAGCATTTATTGTAATTAAGTTGTCTCCTCTTATCAGAAAAACGGATCTAAATTGACAATAAAACTAGCATTTGTACCCCTTTCTTAATAAAAGCCTATATACATGCATTTCAACAAGCTAAGTAATATTGCAAGGTTAGCCATGGAAGCTACAAGCACCAGTTGAAATGAGGTATGATGTATGCCCATGAAATATTGAAGTTATTTGTTCGAACATGGCAAATAATTGTAGTTATCTTTGTACACATAACCTAAATTTTTTTTAAATTTCTTAAAGGGGATGGTTTAATTAAGTAAAACTATATCAAAGGCACAGTACCACTCACTATTCAAGGCTGTAGTTATTAAGTAATAAAGCTCATCAGGGGAATAAAAAAAGTGAGCTGGCTTGTACCATAAACATTTCTTATTACTACCTTATTTCTCTGAGACACATAAAGATGGCTGTAGTATATCAATAGAAACTGTAAACTGTAAATGGTCATAACTTGATTAATAATTCTTGGATCAAAATATTTTTTAATGTAAGTACATGATTATGAGTGATTTTAAAATCTTAATTCTATATTTAGACTTTTATTCCGGCACCCCACACACAAAAATGAAAAAAATCCTAAAGAATCATTTCATAGGGGTTCATGTTATAATACTACAATCTGTTTAATAGGTGTATATACACAGTTGTATATAGAGTACTTGTATTATTATAACATCAAATACTGACAAATATAACACATAGATTATACAGCTACAATGATAAGGATAGTTCAAGTACAATGGTAAGGATATTTCAACTTCAACACCAATGATTAGGATATTTCAGCTCCATAAGCACAATGTTGTGAATGATAAAAACACAGACAAAACTAGTATATGTTTACTTAACACACTAACAAAATTCAAAAACACCAAGATCAATCTGATTAAAACACAGATCCCATTTCGTTTTGTTTTTTATAGTTCAAAATTTCATTTTACTTGTCTTTACTACACTAGGATCTGGAAGAGTTGTTATATTACCGGCGTTTTGGTTGAAGTGAGGGAGAAACCAATGAAACAGTCTGTTAAGGCGACTTCTTGACGTGCCATGCACGGAACTGTGGGTAAACCAACAATGATTGATTAATCAATGTCTGACGTCATAGGGTCAAAAGCCGCTCGTATAACCCCTGACCCGACCTTCGCATACAACTTGTCAGATCTTCATGTTGTGTAGGCCATCGAAAGTATAAAAAAACAAAAACAAAATATAGATCTGTATTTTAACCAGATTGCACCAAGATATATTGTGCGCTGCCTTAGCAAAAGTCACAAAACATATAATTCTTCAGTTGACAACAATTTGTCCTGCTGCCCATTTCATTTAACAAATTGTGGTGTTAAACTCTCATTTATTTTATTTTTTTAAATTATGTGTTTTCGATATATTTTTGGCAAGATCAAGGTTTTAAAACTATCGATTTCATATAAACCATGAAATATCTTAGCCATTTGTAGGTTGTTTTTGTTTTTTTTTGCTAGAAAAACAGGATTGTTCCCAATATATCTGTGCTTTTTTTCTTGTTGAAAGATGTCATAGACATCACAATGGGAGAGTGTATTTCTGATATAGAAATGAAATTTATTGATGAAATAAAACATAAATGCACTGGATCATATCATAAGAGTTTTCAAAAGCATTGCAAAAGTTATGAGTATTTTCAGCATAATAGCGTAAAGATAGCAATGTGTATCTTATTTGATCAAACAATCCACACTTACAAAAGCAGTATGTCGAAAATCAAATTTTACTCAAAAGCTGAATATTTAAAATAAATTTTTTTTCTCAAAAGCAGTATGTCTAAAATTAAGGATGCATTATGTAAGAATTAGATAAAAGGCTGGTCGTTTTTGCCATACTAGTTCAAAACTAGATAGTGAAAAATGAATATATTTAAAATTCAGTCAAATTGCTTTATTCTGTGCAAATGTAGCTTAAATTGTTTATTATCGTAGTAATAGTCTTAATTATCTTTGTCGCCAAACTCCTAAATGGTGGTAGTGTTCATATCTACTAAAAATTGGAGCAATTCAATGGTCCAGAGAGTTGATTATGGGCTTGTCATGTGAATAATGTCTAAATTATAATGTATTTAACATCTGAAGCCAGAAAAAAGACCTGCAATGGACCAATTAAGCTCTTACATAATGCATCCTTACATTTTACTCAAACTAAAAAATGTGTTCAGTAGTTTGGTTAAGTCAGTACAGTACATGTATATTTATTTAATATAAATGATATGTTTCAGTAAAATAATATACAAATGAACACAATAAACAGCAGATCAATCAGCTTTTTAAAGCTATCAAAACTTAACGTAACAAAAATCATACAATAAGCATTAATTAATTCAAGTAGGAATGTCTACAAAATATACATAATTAAATAAAAAAAAAACCTGTACATAGCGCATATTTCAAAACAAAGCTAAAAAAAACATTACCTTTACATTTATATAAAATTTGTGAAATCTAAAGCATCATTGCATAATATATTAATTCTTACAACATATATACATGCAAACTTATATATCTCTAATTTTAGATAACAAATTTATTACTTTAAATAATGAGGAAGCCAAATTTTTAAAACACTAACAAATTTGTCATTATTTTAGGCCATTTCTTCTGTCGTAATATAATGAGGTTTGATAATTCCATTTGTAACAAACTATTTCAACTTCTTTAAGATATTTTTATGAAATTTTATTATTAAGCACATTGAGATAATCATGGTGTTCATTATATATCAGCTTGCCAATTATCGAGATCCGCATGTTTTTATATGGGAGATAACTCTTTTAAATAAGCATAATAATGAAGAAATTTCTTAGTCAATGTCACAGTCAAATCTCCAAACACATTTTAGCTGCTTTATTTAATGAACAATTATTTCAGCAGGATTTAAAACTAAACTTCTCTATATTACTTGAGGTTTATTTATTTAAAATGCTTCATTTTAAATGCAAATAGTTCAGCCAATCTCAAGTATCTGTTTTAAAATGATTAACAGAGAACCTCCAAGCATCAATATCTGAAAGCTATGAAATACATCATAAAATCATATCTATTTACCCAGGATTTAATTTATTTACTATTAATATACCAATTTCAATGCAGTAATAATAAATAGGTAGAATATACAATGATATCTGTTGTTAATTGAAACCATACATACATCAAATATTATAACTTAACTCTTTTCTCCCTGATTGAGTACTATTAAACTATAATCAAAATCAAACAAGTAATTGTTAATAACTGAAATGTTACATTTTGTTTTCTCGAAAGGAAAAAGAAATAAAACAAAAATAAAAATTTCAAATTAACAGACCATATTTAATCTCAACTATATGTCTTTCCAACAGGATATTGTTTTTTTTGGCTCATAATTATCTACAACTAATAATAACAAATTACAATCTAGCTATTTAACAACAGAGTTAGGTCACACAAAAAACAAAAATTCGGGTTCTCGGGCAATCCTTACCAACAATCTGATGCAAGAGGGAGGTTTTTATTCTTGTGTTTTTATTTGATTAAATGATCACTACTGGACTAAATGACTGCTCATAAACATCACATTTCAACCCAAGGCACTACATTTATCTCATGTTGTTTATAGGAACGTGTGATTATCCAGTATCATTTCTGATTGTCAGGAACATTTATTAGGATTGTGTACTTGATAAATGAGCCTATGCCTCATTTCTGGATTCAATTAAATTTCTATTTTTTTGAAAGCGATGCATGATGATCTGAGAACCAGAATATTTATTTTTTACATGGTCTTATAAATAGTCTCCAAAATCTACAAACTAATCAATAATTGCACTTTGTTTGTAGTTCACTCCATATTACTTAAATTTAAACACCATGACCACACTAAAGCTCATATTTTTATGTGTATATTATACACAATGCAACCATACAATTTACAACAAATCTTATGTGGAATGCAAACATGGAATAAAATTGTTAATATGGATTTCAAAAAGTGGATGTTTTGTTCAAAAAGTGGATGTTTTGTTCAAAATGTTGATGTTTTGCAAGTGATTAATGTCACGTTATTCTCAATTTGGAAATGTCAAACGTCACTAGGAAGATCTCCAGATTTTTTAAATAAACAGATATCTGAAAACAACTGATTAAGTCTATCAGATTTTGGTAGAATCATTCAAGGAAGTGAAATGTTGTCTTAAAAAAAGAATTTGATTCATTGCAAATTCTTTATATTTTATATATAATCTAGTTTCAACCATGCTCAACCCTGTAGTACAATTCATTATGTCTTTAAATAACAAAGTATCATGTCAGCTTCCACTTCACAGGGGTATCTAAGACGTCAACTTTTGATGAACTCCAATACTGTAATAATCTAAAATGCGACAAATGCCTTAGTGTATTAAGCCAAAGCCATATGTTTAAGGAATTTTACAAAGAGTAGCTATTATTCCATTTGAGGTTCTGCACTGTGGAAACTATTATAAAACTAGATGATTTAAAGAATACAAAGAATTCGCAATGGCCAGACTTCTCCTGTAAGTTATAAGTACAATGATGATATGAAATGAATAAATACAACCCTTAAATTCAAAATAAAAAAAACAACTAGACTATTTGCATGTGATATTAAGAAGCTGTGATATCTCCATATTCCTGATTCCATTTTTCATATTTCGACAAGGAATCGGATGGAACACTTCTCCGTATTCTTCTCAAGGCATCCAGAAAGTCTGACATTTGAATATTTCTGACCTATAAGAAAAAGTAAATGTAAGTAGTAGGTTTTCAATGACTTAAACCCCATAAGAATGTAGTCACAATACTAATAATTAGGATGTGGAAAAACCACATGTATAGTACGATAAGCCTATTATAGGGACCGTACACAGATTTTTTGTCAAAAATTTATATTTCTACGAAAGCTTTTAGTGGAATTTTATATTTTTATGTTTTTATCACATTGCATGACTTTTTATGTTTTTATCATTATCAAATATTATGATTTCTTTTTATATAACTGCACTGATAGTTAATAACTATCTCCAGTCTGTAGTGTTCAGCCAGTGTTATGCAGATAAGAACGTCCCACCAGCATCCTTGGTATGCCCAATGGTCTTATTCCATTCTACTCCACTATACCCTGGGTTCATCCATGGGGTATTTACATATTCAAATTATCTGCCCTTGATCGCAGCTTGAGTTTGCGAACCAATCAAAAAAGAGTTTAAAAACCAGTCTTAGCCTCATTCACAACAATATGCCAATATCGACTTGGCACACTAGAAGCTAGCACATTATAAGGATATTACCACACAATAAGCCAAAATGGAAGTGCTAACTGTAGGCCGTTTGGGAGGTTCGGGAATTTCCAAAGTCCACAATGGCCGCTATAGAAAATGATTATTATTATTTTAGTAGCATGGAATGAGACCACTGGGGATACCGAGGATGTCACACCAGTAGCACCTGTGGTATTAATGGTTGCTGTCATCTTCTCCTATATTCAATTACCCACATAACATTGAGTGAACATTTAAACAGAAAATGAATTAGAGTAGAAGCGAGGGGGGGGGCATAAAATGCTTGGATGATTTTCGTATTCACATTTGGATTTATTAGTATAGAGATTTATTTTTAGGAGTAGCGATTCATGGTTAATTTTATATTTTGAAAAAATTTCGGCTCATTTTATGAGAAATAGTGAAATTTTATATTTTTGACGATATTTTTCCATTTTATGATCATTTTATGAGAAATGACGTAATTTTCTGAAAATATACGTTTTTATTTTGTACAGTCCCTGCTATTATCTTGGGCCAATCACCATAGCTTTCCCATGTTTGTTTATGTTGCAATTCTACAAACAGTTACCAATTCCATAACTATAGAAACCTCAACAATAATAATGTATAGTAAGTGTTCCAAGCATATTCATTGGTTGTGTGCAACACTATCCATTAGGAATAGGTTATATAATAGGTACATGGGGTGTTTAAAACTTACCTTAGCTGCATCAACAGATTTCACTTCATGTACACTCAGTTCTACAATTAAATATGATCAACATATATATTGGTAAGAAATGAAATCGTATTAATAGAGGTCATATTTGGAGGACACACACCGATATTAAAACCCTACTGTGTATAACATATGACTCTCCCCTGCCAATCATATCAGACATTTTCATGGTGGGCCCTTAACCCCACGTAGACACTTTATACGACGTTACATAAACAGCTTCATTCTGGCCTTAATTTCATAGAAATGGACAGAAAACTAGAGCAGGTAGGATAAAATTGATATAACGTCGGCAGCCATCTTTGATGACATCATAGCGGAATAACCTACCATGTGGCGAGTGTCCACCCAAGTTCAAAATACTTACTTAGGCACCAACTAAACATTTCTACAAAAAAATTCTCCCTACTCAAACTTTCCTATAGAACCATAGTCAGATTCCGGATTAAGAGAAACAGTTAAATAATTCTCAAAATCAGTTCCACTGAAATATATGCATCTTCACAAATGTTTTTAACACAACATTCATGGAATGATTGCCTGATTTCTTATTTATTTGTCTGTTATGTCCCTAGATGTTTCAGAGGGTCTGTTGTTTGTCGTGATATGTGTGTTAGCTGCAAAAAAGCAAATATTAGAAAAATTGATTTTACATTAGATCCTTTGCAAAAACTCTACAGATGATACAAAGAACGAGGAGAGTACTGTATATTTACCTCGTATAGGTCCTAAAGCAGCATCTTTAGCTAACGCTGTTAAATCACTACCAGAATAACCTTCAGCATCTCTATAATAAGAATAGATACCATCATGTATCAGTACATCTTCACCATATCAAACTTACTATTCAATTCAATACATTTTTCAGAAAAACTATCTATTTTGGGTCACACTCTTGTATATTTTAATTAAAGAATTGTGATGCATTCTTGTATTCAGTCATTGTTTTTTGAGGCGGGCGATCGCTCTCGAGCGCCTGTCGCGCACCCGAATGTCGACTGAGGGGAGGTTTTTCTCCCTCGCCTTAAAATTGAAAATCGCTCTCCATATTTGTAAATCATGGACATGTATATATTTGGTTCTTTTTTTTTTCAAAAGAGTGTGAAAGACTCACATTCCGAGCGCCACCATGCTGTCATTGTGAACATTTATTTGGTGTATTCGATTAGTATAATGTGATCGCACAAGGTAATAAAATTCCGATGAATATGTTGCTAAAAATAGATGGCGACTGTGCACCATTGGTTAATTTAACTGAAATGAAAAGTAAAACTCTCGCGAGACGTGAGAAATTACGAGAGATGGCACGTGAAAATTTCCAATGAGAATAATTCCGGAAGAAATAGATTATATTTTAATGGAATTTTCAAGCGTTTGATTATATTTTGAATAGGGGTTATGTTTTTAAACAAAATTTATACAAGCTATATATATTTAGAAATGTCGACAAGTATTTCTATTGGAATACGTACCGTATGTACTGTAGTTATAGACGACAGTAGAAGTTTGACTTGACCGTACGACTACACGAGTGCTATTTAGCAGACGATGTTTATTATCATTTATATGTAACCAAGAATGACCCTTACACGCAGTTATTGATCTTCAGAACCATTTCCCATACAAACAACTAATCACTCTCCTTAATATCAGATCATTCTCCTTAATTTCTAAATCACTCTTCTTATCGAAACTGGGAGAGCTTTTTTAGGGGAGCGATTTTTTCAATTTGTTCATTAAGGGGAGCTTTTTTCGGCTCTCCTCTAAAATACAAAAAACAACGACTGTGTTTTCCCTTTTCTGTCTGTATTTTGTTGTACATTTCTCCTGCATAATCTATATAGACGTCCTTTAGATTAGTTACAGCTGTATAATGTTTTATAACATTGGTAAAGATAATTTATGTAATTGCTTTGTACTTGTCATGGACAGCTCACTGTCTTTGAAACCAGCAGCCAAGGTAACCCAATGAGTAAGATGCAGACTCAATAAAAGGAGGTTGTGAGATTGATCGAGTAGCGACTGAGGAATTTCCGTTAGGATTTCCCAGTATGGTTTCCAATGTCAGTGGTGAAGAACAGAGCGCCTGGCAAGGAACAATGTCTAGTCATTTAGAAGAGACAAAAGAAAGGATCACATTTTCACATTGATGTGCATGTAAGGACCCTTGACAGTAGGAATTCCAAAAAGTAGGAGGAAAAGCAGCTGTTATAGGACATTGCATGGCATTTGCCTGTCTTCATTAGCCCAGTTAGTGCAGAAAAGTAGGATGTTAAACCTCATTTCATGTCTTTGCCACCTTTATAAAGTAAATACAGTATATAGGTATGGATAAAAATGCTTCAATTTAACTTACTTAGCTAATTTATCTAGTTCTTGAGCTGTTAAAGGATTGTCATGTTTTACCAGTAAATTTTTCAACATTTTCCCTCTTGTTTCTATATCGGGCATCATCACATAAACTCTTTTGGTAAAACGCCTTTAAAATTAACAACACAATTTGGATCAAAGAAACATTGGGCATATAATCAATTATAATTTAGATATGATACATATTCATAACCAAGCAGCTTAAGACTAAGATGGCTCCAGACAAATCAAGACAAAATTACACATGCCTGAGTTCCACCTTTCATGTCCCCTTGTCTTCGATTTAACTAAAAGTAAAGGTAAAGCCAAGAAGCCACTACAAGGTTCAGCAAGAAGTATGGCAATAATCATTGATTTTTAGCTTCGCCTTGTTCATTTCTTGCCTTCACACTGTTAACCACGACAGAACAAGACTTCTTGACTCGCGATGAGTCTTTAACTGTAAGGCCAATAGCAGAAGATGCGCAGACTTTTGTCGATAGGGTACTTATTGGCTGCCATTTGCTTCTGCAGCTCATAACAAGTTGGTTTTCAGAAGAAAAGTCTAGTTAGGAGTATATCTTTCAAACATCATTACAAAGTAAATAGGAAAGGCATTTAAGGGGTAATAAATGTCTGAGTCATAAAAAAACAAATGAGTTACTTCCCTTTGAAACCATTGTTACTATTTTATTTTTTTCATTTATACATGGAAGTCAACAAACTTATCTGTATCATTATTATTATTTTTTTTATTATCATAATAGTCTTCTCTGAGAGTGTGTATGTATTATTGTTCAAAGCAAAAAAAAAAACAACTCAAGCCATCTGACTGGGATTAGATTATTAAACACAACAATTACAAAATCTTTTGAATTGTTACGATGGGTTGGAAAATTAGTCAGAAATAAACATACAATTTAAGCGGAATCATAGAAGGAATATGACAGAACCAACAAAATGCATCGAGAAATGTGAGGTACATGAATTTAGGTCCAGATAAGTAGATTAAACCGTAATGGTACTATATAGTTATTGTAATACTGACCTTAATACAGCATCATCTAATTCCTGAGGTCTGTTAGTTGCACCCATTACTAAAACTTTTTCATCGGGTCCACTACACACCTTTAAATATATATAATCAAGGTAATACATAGAGAACAAATTGTCAATTTAATTGTTTTCCGAGTCATTTTTAAAATGTTCCAAAAAAAAAAAAAACCTAAATAAAATTCAACTTTATGCATGAACTTCAAACTAATGAGAAATATTATAATATAAATACCCCATCAAACTGGACTAGGAATTCTGTTTTTAATCTGCGGCTTGCATCATTTTCTCCTTCTCTCCTTTCACACAGCAAAGAATCTATTTCGTCTGAAAATATAACAAACACGAAAATTAAATGACATTATAATGGAGGGACTGAAGAAAATCGTTGAAAAGTTATGATATGGGGTCAATTCTATTTCGCTAAAATTCTATCTTAATCAGCTCCATTAGCCTCTATCCCTAAATTTAAAATGACAATGTTAGGTTGGGAGTACAGTAGAATCTGCATTAAGCAGCCACCCAAGGGAATTTTCACGACTGACCGCTTAACGGGAGTGGCCTCTTAATAAAATCTCAGTGTTTTTTTGTGCTGACATCAAGTACATTTTACGCTTGGATGCATCGGCAGAAAATACCTATACTTGCATCGGTAAATTTGGCCGTCGCTGAAACTCGCTTGGAACAAAAATTCATTACTCAAATCTCGGACATAACTTGTCATTTTGTACCAACATTCGATACTACTTTCTATCATTGTGATGCATTCGATAATATTTATCCATTTTTGTGAAGAAAATCGATGAATTAATTTTATTTTATCAAAAAATCACATGAACAAAAAAAACATCGCTGATTTTGTCACCGATTTTTAGGGGGTGTAACTCTGTATGTAATATTATAGGAGGCCCTAAAACGTCTGTTTAACAACAAAGTGGCAATGGAAAAGAGATACTAGATGATCGTGACAAAACTCGCGGCTTCGTCGGCACTTTTAGTTTATTCAATCAGTATAAAATAATGTTTTGTTACGTGTGAAAACAATGATCAGGTTAGTCGTTTAATAAAACAAAAGATTAATTAACAGATAATCACGGGTTTATTGTTATTTTCACATTTCTTTTTACCTGATCAGTGGGGGTCCAGTTAATTAACTACTACTCACGGGATTAGCGGGGGTGTTACGAAGTACAACAAGATGGTATCATTCAACAATGGCCGTTGAAACAGCGATGTTTTGTTAAGGCCGTGTTAGAGGAGTGAAAGTTGAATAAAGAGATGAAACAATAGAATTTTTACGGGGGGAATTTATCGTGACCGCTTACAAGGAGATGTTGCTGAACATGAGTGGCTGCTCATACAGATTCTACTGTAGTTGGGACTATTGGAAATTGTTTGAAGGGACAAAAATATCAATTCCGTGTGGATGGCTTTACTCTTTTGTTTTTATTACAAATGACAAGCTATGAAAATTAGAGTGTAAAAATGAATTAGTTGTTGAAATATCTCTTTCTGAAATGCCATCTGTAAGGCGGCACTTATAGAGTAGACACTTATGATTACTAACACATCTACATGTACAATCGCCAAAAAAAGTTATTGTGGTTCTTTAATTTTCATCCAGCCAAAATTGACTTTCTCACAAAGAACATATTACATCAGGGTACAGATCCAGGAATTTATTAACGGGAGGTACTGGTCCAAATTTTCTGATTGTTACTAATTTATTAAAAAATATGCTTATTTAGATATTTTCATTTTGATCATTTGAGGATATGTAAGGGCACCTGAATTTTTTTAGACTGTATTGTTATTTCCAGGCCAGCAAACTCTATATATTAGAAATGCTACAGATATAGAGTGTGTACTTACCCATAAATATTATAGATGGTTGTAATTCTCTTGCAGCAGCAAATAAAGCACGTACTAACTTCTCTCCTTCACCTACCTATAATATACATACCGGTAGTTGGTATATAATATACTTATTTAATACAAATACATGTATGGTATTACTTTATCTACATGTATTTATAATCTCCTTTCTTTGTACTTGTAGATTTTTCAAAATGAAGAAACTTAAATCCACAAAGATAGAACTATTCGTAAATGAATTGTATATTTGCTAATAGTCACTATCTAACATTGCATGCTTACAAATGAGACATCTTTCAAATTAATTTATGTTGTTAAGATCACTTTTATTCTAATGAGACAACTGATACAATTCTTATAAGATAAAGTTACCTACCCATTTAGAAGTTAAACTAGAAGCACTTATATTAAAAAACACAGCATTAGATTCATTAGCAACAGCTTTAGCCTGAAAAATTTAATATATAAATGAGCTCACATACCCACAATCTCTGCAAAGAACTTATTTTAATAAAAATAATCAGTTTCTTTTAAATGAGTTCAAATCAGATAAATGTTGCAATAATTTAAAATTTATTTAAAAATAATGAAAATTTTGTGCGTGTAATTTTGTTTTATATCAGTGTAGCTTACTTTAAATATAACTTACCAACATAGTTTTACCATTACCTGGTGGACCAAATAATAATAAACCTCTAGCTGGTGCTCGTAAACCAGTAAATAACTGTAATATAATAGTAATATATCTACATGTATCACATAAACCAGTAAATAACTGTAATATAATAATATATCAATCATATAAACCGGTAAATATAACTGTAATATTATCATAATATATCAATCATATCAACCAGTAAATAACTGTAATATTATAATAATATTAAGGCTGGGAATCGATATGAAATTTCAATATCGATTATCGGCAAGAATTTGTCAGCGATTATCGATAATAATTGATTATCATTTTTCCGGAAAATTCCGAACTTTACCGACCTGTTATTTGTATTGGTCGACACAGGCTACCACTATTTTGTTGTATTTGTTCTTCAACAGTCATGTTTAATAATAGTATTGTATAATAAAAATATTCCAAAACATCTATTATATTTATTAATATTATTATACAATCTGTCAATACTCAATCGTAATAAAAAAAACAAACGAAAGTAAATTGAAGTTATTTATCTTCATAACTAGAGTCCATGAAGGTAGATAACTGTTACATTTATTTTTACACACAGCATATGATTTGTCAATATTACTGTCGTCGGTTCCGTAAAAACCAAAACAATTCATACCTCGCTTTTTGCCTTTCCTGGGAAGTCAAAAACGTATTTTGTATGGGCTGTTTCTGACATGATTTAGTAATAAAAGCGAGTTGATCATTAATAATACAATTAGTTTTATCGTGAAAGCAGACGATTTCTCTACAAATCAATCAAGAGCAAAGAAGGGAGATAATTCTAATTTTACTATATATCACGTGCGATTGTCATTGTTCACAAAGTGCGTGACCTATTTTGGTTTCAACTAGTAACAACAAAAAAAACAACGAAAATATTAAAATAATGTATTTAATCTTAATGTTTAGTTTTTTACAATAATATATATTTAAAATGTGCCAGTTTGTAAGCAGAGGGGGAAAATAGTTGTTTTGTTGACGTTGTGTGTTCATTCATTCGTCTCCTAATGCCAGACTACGGCAAGTTCAGACATGTGAAAGTGACCGTAACTTGCCGTCAGAAGGTAATTAAATATACCGATAATCGATATTTGAATTTCAATATCGATTATCGTATCGCTGAATAACTTCTACCGATTATATCGATATTTTTGCACAGCCTTAAATAATATATCAATCATATCAACCAGGATATAACTGTAATATAATAATAATATATCAATCATATAAACAACTTTTACACCTCTTAATGTCTTGTATTCATCCCTTTAACAATTGCTTGCTGATTCAAGAAAAGGTCAGCCGACTCAATTTCACTTTACAACTCTTTACACACTAAAATCTTCGATACATTTACTCTGACCTTAGAAAATGCAAGCAATGACTCTTCTTAAAAAAAAATTATCATTATCATGAGGAATATGTGTTTTTTTAAAATTTGCCAAAATCATGATTTTTTGCTCAACTCATATAGAAATAAGTTAAACAACAATTCACATTAAAATACGAGCCTGAAACAAAAATTGCCATAACATAATGCTATTAACAATAATGTTTATTTTCATGATTAGCATTTTCTATATATTTTTAATTGATGCACAATTACCTACATGTTTTTTATCAAAAAAACTATCTTCATAATGATCTGTATGCATGGCACATAATCATGTAATCACAGAATTTCAGAATAACAGCAGGGTAGCACAACCATTTTGAAAAGAGTCCATTAAGTCATTAGATGGTTTCTTTTTCTAAATTAGCCACAATTTTTACTTTGTCGTACAAGCAAGATACAGTGCAGTTCCCAATATAATGTGTGTTAACAGTGCTCAGTATCAGTATGTACATGTAGCATTTAAGGAATGATAGGAAATGGGTTAAAGATCCTAATCAGGGCTAATGAAGACGGACATATGCCAGTGTCAATGGTTCTTTTACATGCACGCCAATGTGTACAGAGGACCTTATTTCTCCATGTCTAGGTAGACACAAACTAAAATTTAAATTAAATTAAAAATACTTCAAAAGTACCTGTACATAGTATACTTATAGAAAATAATTTAACATATTTAGGTAAGAAGTGCTGCGTTAATGAACAAGTATGTTGTGACATTTTGTTAGTATTGATAATGATTTACAGGAAAACCTGTATAAAGTACTTAATCTAATTACCTCTGGTCTTAAAGCTGGTAAAATGACTATTTCTTGTAAAGCTTGTTTAGCTACATCTTGTCCAGCTACAAAACAAATGGAATCATATCAATCAGAGTAATAATTGGGGAAACATTCAAGATGTATTTTGTTTTTCTTTTTGAGGGAAAATGTAAAATTTTCTTATCCATAAGACTTTTCAGACATTCATTAGATATTATGACATATTATATTTATTGATAAAACCCCATCATGATCTTTTGATTTGTTTATATATCTGAATTTAGATTGGGGAACCGACTATGTCTACATGTATGTGTCACCCCATCATGATTATTGCTAAACAACATGAACCTCAAAATACTTTATACACCTGGGGCAATGTTCTTCTGAAAATCATCTGTTTGTTCATATATTTGTTCATATATTTGTTTTAAAGAACAATTAGAGAGGTTTAACGTATGTACTAAACTAATCAAATTTATTCATTTTATACTACCAGGCTTGAATGAAATAAACTAAAACATGAAGGATCACCTTTAAACATTCATTCAAAGCAAATGACTTACCAATCTCAGAAAAATTGACAGCTGGTCCTTGGTCCACGACTTCATTCAATATCATATTGGCTAATTTTTTATCAACATTCTTTAAACCAGATAATGAAATATCTTTTCTCGACTTAGCACCGGATTTCATCTTTAAAACAAGAGTAACAATAAATATGTATAGATTTAAAGACAATACAACTTTAAAATTAATTCCCCAAAACCTGAGCTGTCCAGGTACAGTTCTCATCAGGCTGCTCAACGAATATATTTTTCAAAACCTGAACCATCCCAGACCAGTCCCTCAATGATCCACAATAACATTTGTCATTAATTCCTTTATTACAGAGGTATAATTTAACTATTTTGTCAGACAAGATGGACCACAAAAAAGTTTATCAACCAATTTCAACTGTAATTTCACAGAAAAGACTAAACCTTACTAATATAGATCTTAAAGTGTGTTCTAAAGAGTAATCCTTTAAAATGCCGATTTTCAAAGATACTACGATAGATATGTGAGGTCTTTCCATTTGCTATCAACTTGGTCAATAACTGACCATTTTACAGTTTCTGAAATTGATGTAGTGTAAGGGAGTTAACTCTCATGAAGTACTTTCATGTCCCTTGTCGTGTGATCATAAAAATTAGACCGATTTCTACATGACATAACAATGAAATAACATTGATGTCATGTGACAATAATTATGACATCAATTAGAGATACATTATTTCCCAGGAGAAATGGTCCATTGCAAATGACTAAGAAACTGAAAGAATATGTAAAAACTTACTTCAGGTTGTGAAAGTTTTCTGTTGTGAGACATATGTCTTGGTGAGGAATTAGAGCCTGTATTCACACCTGTCCGTGTGGTACCATGATTTCTAGGTAAAGTATTACTTTTATGGACGGCCAAAGGACTACGCATGGCTTTAATAGGTTTATTCGTTACTGGAAATGAACAAAATAAAATATTATTCTTTGAAATTGTTATCAACTGTTATACTGACATTCTCGTCAATAATTAAAGTACACAGACATATTTCACTTTTTAAACATTATAGAGGATTTCATTTGATTAGAAAGTTTGATCAGAAATATTAACTAAAATTACATATAAAAGAGATAGTATATTATGAAAAAAGAAGAAGCTAAGAAGTTTTAAAATAAAGATATATTCTATTGAGGTCAAATGGTTCATCTAGTCATTCCCCCCCCCCCCCAATTTTTTTACTTGCAATTCCATGTTATGTCATTTCTTATGACAAATAAACCAGTTTGGCAGATAACTGTCCATGTAAGTCAAAGGTCATACATGTACATACTACATGTATGTACATAGATCCAGCTACTATAACACTATTCCTGATTCGCCAAATGACACATTACTCATAATCATCAGTGGTATTTCTAGATTTAAAATAAAATGTGTGATAATAATAAATGAAATAGATTTATGTTGTTTTCAGTATCAAATACAGTTTCTTCCCTAGTTTTGGTATCGTTTCAAATCGATATTTAACATCAAAAGAGTATATCTTTAAGAATAACTAAAATTTTAATACTAAATAGATATATGTACATAGAAGAAAATATTTAAAAAATAAAATAATATGGGGGTGCTTCAAAAATAAATAAATCAATCACCAGAATTTATCTCAAATTTAATCTCAAGTCATTACTGTACAAAAATCTATACTATTCAAAAAAAGTAGGGGATATTTGATTTTGGGGGCATAATACTAAAATATGCAAATGACTACGAAAAAAGTCACTATAGAACCTAACAGAAGAAACATTTCCAGTTACATGTGACGCCCAAACGCACCAATAGCTACCGCATGGAATGCAGGTGATGCTTGGGATCATCATGGGGGTCCAACCCAAGATTTGCACGACTCTGACTTTGAATGTTACAGTCATTGTGGCATTGAATTCCAGGGTGGAAACATCAGTTTAATTGTTTTAGTGACCAGAAAACAAATTTTGATATGCGTCGGCTTACCCAAAATGAAAGGTTACGTGCCCTTGGCATGCTACAGATCGGCACAACACAGGCGGTTGTGGCGCGGACGATGAATGTTTCTCAGTCTGTCATAAGCAGGCTATGGTCCAGATACCGTGATACACAATCTGTACAGGACAGACCACGCTCAGGTCGACCAAGGGCGACAACTCAAGCCCAGGATCGATTTATCCGTACCTTGGCCTTGAGAAATCGTGTCATCACAGCAAATCAGATCAGCGCTCGTCTTCAAACAGACACTGGTGTGAGAGTGAGTGGCCAGACGATTCGGAATCGACTGCATAGGGGTCACCTTCGCGCCCGACGTCCTCGCGTGATCCCTTGTTTGAGAGATCATCACATTCAGGCAAGACGTCGTTGGTGTAGGGATCGTCAACACTGGGATAATCGACGCTGGAGCAATGTGATGTTTTCAGATGAGTCAAGGTTCACTGTTGATTTTTTGGACAGACGTAGGAGGGTGTGGCGTCGTCGAAACGAGCGCTTCCAAGACGTTAACGTCATCAGACATGATCGATTTGGGGGTGGTTCTGTTATGGTGTGGGGAGGCATCACTGTTGCTGGAAGAACGGCTTTACATGTTGTTGCAGGGCGTGTTACAGGCCAGTACTACCGGGACAACATCTTGGCAGTCCATGTTGTGCCGTTCGCACGACGTCATGGCCGCCGTTTCATCTTCCAGGATGACAACGCAAGATGTCACAGGGCCAGGATCGTTACAGGTTACCTCCAACAACAGAACATCACCACATTACCTTGGCCAGCACTGAGTCCCGACCTCTCCCCCATCGAGCATGTCTGGGACATGCTTGGACAGAGGTTACGTCAACGTCAACAACGTCCTGCCAATGTCCAAGAACTTGCTGCTGTGTTGCAACAGGAATGGGACAATCTGGATCAAAATGACCTTAGACGTCTCATTAGGAGTATGCCACGTCAGATCAATGCTTGTTTGGCAAACAGAGGAGGATTTACCCGTTACTGACTTGGTTGTGATGCTGTGGTAACTTTGCTGTTTGACCCCTGGTATCATTTTACCCTTATAATGGTCAGTCTGTGCCTTACTTAGTCTAACGATCATTTGGAATAAATCGATGAATGTGAACTTCATTTCATTTTGTCATTTGTTTCTTCGTCAGTTTCATTAGGTGACTTTAATAACACTTAAAAATCAAATATCCCCTACTTTTTTTGAATAGTATATATCATGATAAATTTCAAAACACTGTTAAAAAAAAACCTTTCTTGCCCTGTCTATTGTGGTACATTTCCATATCAATCAGTTTAATATGTGTATTCATGCATCATCAATTTTAAAGTCGTATCGAATATAAATATGGCTACTAGAATGACAGTTGTGTTGCAAAGATGGCTACCATCCATCCTATGAATGATTGGTGTTCTATTGCAATATATTTCTTCCACACAATCTGATTAAAACACCGATCCAATTTCGTTTCGTTTTTATAGTTCAAAATTTTGTTTTACTTGTCTTTATTACACTTGGATCTGGAAGCGTTGTTATTTTACTCTGCTTGAAATGAGGGGTCAGCCAATCAAATGGTCTGTCGAATCGAGCGTTTGACCTTTTTTGCGCAGAACTGTGGGTAGACATTAGCGGCAATAGAAATCAAAACAAAGCAAAAGTACATAAAAAATACATGGCGGTCGATAATTGGTTAATCGAATGACTGACGCAAACAGGTCAAATGTCGCTTGCTTGGTACGTGATGTCATAGAACGTGAACTCCCACTATAACTTGTTAGATCTACATGTAGTGTAGGCCATCGAAAGTATAAAAAACGAAACGAAATATAGATCTATATTTTAAATAGATTGTCCTCCATGTGCACTACATAATATGAAATTTGGCATATTGATCAGTTCACTCTACTTTCATATTATTTTTAAAGAGAATATTTGATGTTTGTTGTTTTTATTAATCTAATTGATCAATTAATTAATCAAATCTAATTAATCAAAACATACCTTCCTCATATAGCTCATTAAATCTCATGAAAACAATGGTATAAGAAGGATTTTTGAAAATCTTGGTGACTTTAAGACATTTAGTTTCTGTATTAAAATTTAATTTGGTATTTTACGATAATAATCATTTATTCTAATTCTAATATTTTTCAAAATTGCTGATCAAAAAAAAATGTTTTTTTTCTGCTGAAAATGAATTTTGCAACACACTTTGATGTATCACAATATATTGCAATACAATTTTAGGTAGTAACAGCCTTATTTGGTGTAATTGTTTTCTTTTTCTTTTAAGTATGTACCTGCTATTCGTTGTCTGATATGTGAGTTATCTGTAAGTCTACTGCCACTAGGTTGTTGACTACTAGTCGATGGCGTCGGGCCCGTGTCTGCTTCACTTATACAAGCTAAACTAACTTCACGTAGTTGTTTTTCTGTAGACAAGACAAACAACACAACACAAAATCAATAAGACAATAACTAAAACCAAACACATGCAGGACATAAAAACATGAGGGTATGCTGTTTAAAACAACAAAACAAATTATGGCACCTGATGAAGTGCTAATTTTTGGTCATTTACATGTACATGCAGTTTCTCATTCTGAAGTGAGGTGCATTACAAGAGAAATAAAATGTAACGTTATATAATTTTCTTCTTGATATTAAACATGTTTACCACTCACTATAAAGAGGCCATTGTTTTCAATTTCAGGATTTTTCCTAATGTTGTTTATAAAATAAAATCTACATATCTTTTTTTACAAAATCTGTGTTTTAAAAAAATATACCCTCAATGTAGTAAATAATATAGGGTGACTTAAATTATGAGTCGATAACTATGTATTAAAATTAAAAACATCCACATCCAGACAGAGAAAAATATTTCCCAAAACAATCTCACAGAAAGTTTCATAACCAAATGAAATCAAGAATTCTAAAAAAAAAAAAAATCATTCAAAATAAAGTTTAGTACCCGGTTGTTTTTTATCCTGAACTGCAAAATTATAATTTAATTGAGTTATCGAGAATTATAGACATTAATTATTATTCCTTATTACATGTAGTTATTATTAACTAGCCTACCATGTCTAGTTAACACACTTAATTTAGGAATTTCATATCCAAAATATTTCCCTCCCAGGAGATCGCGAGTTCGATTCTGGTTTTGGTTGAGAAAGTTCTTCTGGATATTCCAGCCTGGGTTCCCTTTGTCAGTGGTGCAATATGGAGGGGTTTGGCAAAAATATGGTCTCTAGTCATTTGGAAGGTGCGCACATAAAAGAACTCTTGACAGTTGGAATTTAACAAAGAATAGGTACATGTATAAACTCTGCTGTTTGAGTATAATTTAACTTATATATATCACAGAGCATGGTGGATACACATCTTTATCCGCCTGGTTGGTGAAGAATAGTACATGTAGGATTAGATGATTACCCACAAGTATTGAAATAATACTGTACAATATTTGACAATCTACTAACATAACTACACAATTTATTACTAACTTACTCTCTCAAACAAAATGTACTGTACTGCATCACAACAAACATTGGGATGATACTTACACTTACAATGGCATAATTATGGCAAAAAAAAAATACCTGTATTTATGGTTACCTGATATGACCAACCATATTCAAAGGAGACAAAATCATCGACTCTAACCCTTCCCTCAACCCCATTTCCTACAAATCGATCTAAGAATCTTGGCCTGAATTTCTGCAGACAAATTCCAACACTGACTTTTATTTAACATTAACATGTACCACAGCCCAAATCAGCATTCTTATCTGGAACCTTACTCAGTAATTAAACTAGAAATGTTAGGAAATGAATAATAAACTATAAATACTTTACGGTACAGAATTTAAACAGGACACAACAAAGACTAAGTGGTACAATTCAAGTATACACGATATAAAAACATGCTGTGTATATTTGTCAACATTGTACAACACCATATTGAACAAGCTGGTGTTTTCCAAATTTGGATTTAACATTGACAGGAAACGAAATTTCCCATTACCCAACTCCCAAAAGCAATCCAACCTGCCAAAAATATTTTTTTCTGACCAAGTAACAATAAATACAGGTATTTTGAAATTCCCATTATGAAATGTTTTGATATGTTCTAAGGTATAGTTTTTGACTTATCTTACCCAAAAACTCTAATCTGTCTTTAGCCATCAGCAAATTAGTGGACATCTTATCCTTCAGCCTTTTGGCTCTCTCAACAGAATCACCTAAAAACAAACACTTAGCATCATTTGGAAAATATGGCAGTAATTACTCACTTTAGGCAAGACATTTTCAAGCAGCCTAGGTATGTGCCATAATGAAGTCCTCAAAATATAAACCAGTAGTCATAAATAAAAAGGGCTATTTCAATTGAGAAAAAACATCCAAAGTTACATTAATGAGAGAGAGAGAGAGAGAGAGATGGGGTTTAACATCCACTTGGCACAAACTAGGACATTTCGGGACCTTCACACGGTTCAAATTTATTTCAATAATTCGCTTGCGCGTAGGGGTCTTTAGCAGTGGGAGGAAACCGGAGGACCTGGAGAAAACCCACGAGGTTGGACTGGCAACCCTACTTCTTGTCCCATACAACCAGAGAATCGAAACCACGCCAGTTGACTCAATGACAGACCTTATGATACAGCTTGTACATGCTAACAATTCGGCCATCCCCCCCCCCCCCCGTTATATAAATGACTGTTTGATATATAAGAACTGAACAGAGATATTTACTTTAAGACCACTACAATTTGATTTTCTGTTCTTTAGGGTCTTGATAAAAAAAAAATAGACACTTGAATCATGCGAAAGGTGTTTAAAATTTCAAAATTTAAAATCAGAAACTAAAAAGTTCTCTTCCCGAAAATTGTTTTTACAGGTGTTCCGAAAAAAACAGACAATCAAATTAGTGTGGCCTAAGAAAAAAATCTAATGCCAGATAAAATTAATGCATTAGATTTAGATCAGATACAGTACGGTTGGACCTAAATGTAAAATACATGAACCATCAGATGCATTAATATCAACAGAAAATACAATTATTCTGACCATCAGTAGTATAGTATCATCAATGACAATGGCTGGTGATTAATTAGATTATAATCAATGTCCTTAAAATAACATAATGATGTAATTATCTGATATATTTTTCCTTTAAATCCCAAAAAGCCACTCAAACAACAATTTACTCTTTTGGCAAATGTCCTTGACAGCAATTTTCTAAAGTGGCAATTGTTTTTAATTCTCCAGCAGCAATTTCCTTGACCCAACAGAGGCTTATGCAGTCATTGTTTTTTGAGGCGCGCGATCGCTCTCGAGCGCCTGTCGCGCACCCGAATGTCGACTGAGGGGAGGTTTTTCTCCCTCGCCTTAAAATTGAAAATCGCTCTCCATAAAATCATGGACATGTATATATTTGGGGTTTTTTTTTTCAAAAGAGTGTGAAAGACTCACATTCCGAGCGCCACCATGCTGTCATTGTGAACATTAATTTGGTATATTCGATTAGTATAATGTGATCGCACAAGGTAATAAAATTCCGATGAATATGTTGCTAAAAATAGATGGCGACTGTGCACCATTGGTTAATTTAACTGAAATGAAAAGTAAAACTCTCGCGAGACGTGAGAAATTACGAGAGATGGCACGTGAAAATTTCCAATGAGAATAATTCCGGAAGAAATAGATTATATTTTAATGGAATTTTCAAGCGTTTATGATTATATTTTGAATAGGGGTTATGTTTTGAAACAAAATTTATACAAGCTATATATATTTAGAAATGTCGACAAGTATTTCTATTGGAATACCGTATGTACTGTAGTTATAGACGACAGTAGAAGTTCGACTTGACTGTACGACTACACGAGTGCTATTTAGCAGACGATGTTTATTATCATTTATATTATATGTAACCAAGAATGACCCTTACACGCAGACGATGTTTATTATCATTTATATTATATGTAACCAAGAATGACCCTTACACGCAGTTATTGATCTTCAGAACCATTTCCCATACAAACAACTAATCCCCCTCCTTAATATCAGATCATTCTCCTTAATTTCTAAATCACTCTTCTTATCGAAACTGGGAGAGCTTTTTTAGGGGTGCGATTTTTTCAATTTGTTCATTAAGGGGAGCTTTTTTCGGCTCTCCTCTAAAATACCCAAAACAACGACTGCTTATGATTGAAAGTCTAAGATTGTGGTCATACTGAGAAATTATCTTAATGAAAACAGAAATATTGGGATTAAAATTGTACGGTTATTTCCAAAATGTTCAGGACATAATCTCATGTGAATGCTAACAAGATTATAATATTTGTCATCAGGTGGTGCTATAAAATTTCATTCGAGTCATTGGATTTTTTTTTAATTTTCTTAACAATTATCAGGAAGTGGGGCATGGCCACAAAAGAATTATCTAGATTTTTCTAAACTTTCTTTCTTTAACGATATGAAAACAACTTATTCAATTAACAGTTCAGGTAGATGTATGTTTACACAACCATAAACATCCTTCTTATGCAAGAGATATGACTTATGACATTTTATTTATATTAAAATCTTTCTCCTCAGAGTTAATATCAACAATATAAGTCTTTTCTTACCACTTCCATTGATAGAGACAGATATTCCTTTCTCTAGTTCCGTTATACCTTTTTTGTATAACTCTATAGCTGTAGCATGGCCTTTCTTTCCTGAAATTTTTGAACAGAAAACAAATAAATGTTAATCAATTGATGAGAAAAGACGATCCAGCACAATAACACTGAAATCAGCTGGTTTATTTAAAGATGGGTTCCCAGAAAAGTATTTATCGGGTGGTTATTTCCAATAAAAGTATGGTAATTTTTGTATATATGGAAAGTAGAGATATCCAATCTTCCTAACTAGAAAAATACTGGATTCCCCGAACAACACTCATGGAGCGTATACAGGACAAAAATGTAAGGGTTCCCCTAATCAACAGCCCGACCATTAGGAATTTCTGCATGCGTGATGTCAATGAAATGAAATGAAATGAAATGAAATGGGGTTTAACGTCCTACTGTTCTGCTCCTAACCTGGGCTAATGAAGACGGGCATACGCCATACAGTGTGCTATGAGGGAAATTTTGCCCGGACAGCGGCGCTACGGCCTACTCTTATATCGAATTCCAACTGCCAAGGGATCTTTTACGTGCACGCCAATGTGTACACGGGACCTCGGTTTTTCGTCCCATCCGAACGACTAGACAGCTGTCCTTGTCAGGCCCTCCGTCCTGCATCACTGACAAGGGGGAAACCACGCCGGAAAATCGGGATGAACTTTCTCGGCCAATGCAGGGATCGAACACCCAACCTCCAGGCTAGCGAGCAAGCGCCTTACCCACTTAGCCACGTGATCCCCCGAACATTGAGCGCTTGATGTACAAGTTGATAAACTTTATGAAGAGTTAGATGTACAACACTTTGAGATAAAAATTAAGGAAAAAGATGCGGATAGTGGATAATCCGAGAATTTAATTAGGATTCAATAATTGTAATAAATAGTAAGCGATAAAAGACAACATCGTCTTATGTATGCAATGAATTCTCCTCTGACTTCCAAGAAAGGTAAGTCACGTGACGTAAATATGACCTGGTTTGATCGAATTTTTATAGCAGGACATTCCTTCGCAATTACAATGTTTGAGAAGGATTTGAAGCAAAGTTATGACAAATTAATTAGTTTGAATATGTTTTTAGTCTATATATACCATTAAATTGCCCAGTTTGTACGCGGGAACCGATCTTTATCTTATGAATATTCTAAACATTGTGCATAAATTTCAGGTCAATTGGATAATAAATGTACCTTTAGCATTAAGAGAATCCACAAAAAGGACAGATATATACCAAAGATGACAACAATATACACCTACGGCTACGACTACAAAATGTGGGTTCACATGTACAAATTTAAATCAAGAAGCAGTAAATACATGACAATGTCCCACCTGAAAACCTAAAAGAATCTTGATACCCCCTCTAGGATTTAAACCAATCAAATTGTGAAAGTACAAAATAAAATATAAATATATGTACTTCTATACAAAAAATAAAAAAGAACTTGCATTAAAAAACAGGTTATTTTCAATTTCATTTTTCAAAATTAATATAAACAGCTCAAGATAATATACAAATTTAAATAAGCCACAACATGTACAGAACCAGTATGATTGTGCATCACTACTTTCAACATATTTCATACAAATAATTTACTTATTTTGTAATTGCAGGACTTCCTAATCATCAATATTAATGGGTTAAGAAAAGTTTGTTCTGTCATTTTCAAATTGTCCCCCGGTGGGAAATCACCGGTCTGTCTACACCATTAAATTGAATTTCATCATGAACAAAATTTAGCCAACATTTATATTCAAACACAATATACACTAATGTCATCAAAGTATGTAATACATGATTACAATATTTCTTCCATGCTGAGATTCTTAATTTGAGAAATATTTTGATTCAAATCCCCAACGTTCTACATATAAAAGTCATTTCAACATTCATAATCTTCAGTATAAAGAGGGGAAATTTTTTTTTAAAAGTAGGGCACTTCATAATTTATAAAAAGAATGTCTTTTTAGCAAATGAAGGCTGATGGGCTGATGTTCAAGTTGTGTTGATGGGAAATAAGTAAATGTCTAATTGCCGTCTGTTCAATGTAAATAACAGAGACCACCATAGCTGTATGGAAAACAGAACCAGTAATATAATGGATTGTGAGTTGTGTCTAGGTTATAAAGCCCATCAGCTGGGTTGAGTTAATCAATTAGATACTCATTATACATATCTAAGATTAAATCTTACTTCTTTCATAGCAACTTTAATAAGTACTGGTAGTTTTCTTCATTAAGGGGATTTGGTGAGGCTTATGGATTAAGGAATCAATTATAGCAATCTACAAATGTAGCAGAAAAAATACAGTTTACCCAATATATATTTGGTGTATGAATAACTATTTAATTGGATACTTGATCTTCAATTAGTTTCAGATAAAAAACATATAAAAAAATGTAAAGTTAGCACCATTACCCATCTCAATAATCCATCAATTAAATGAAATGTTAAACATCCTATTCTTTTACTCCAACCAGGTTTATACTATGCCACAGCTCCCATCCATCAATTAATAAAAATTGGGATCAAGTGAGCATACAAAAAGTGACTTTATTCTGCAGATACTCAACTAATTTTCTAAAAAATATATTTTGAATTCTGCTAAAAAGTTGTACAAAAAACACTGTTCATCGTTACAGCAGAGAAAAATTTAGAAAATGCTTTAATTTCATTAACAACCACAAGGCTCACACACAAAAAAAATTAAATCATATTATAGTCTAACATGTTTATGGGTTTTACTGCATTAAAATCTGAATATTCTTCTTTAGATAGGTCTGTAGTTGTTTTCTTCATTCCTATCTTTAAAGTTTTAAACAGAAAAAGACTAAACCTTGAACTGAATATTTTGATTTTGTTTTTATGTCCTTTATGCATCTAAATACAAATTAAGTTACTTTAATTTCCTGTCAAGTAAATTCATAAACAGTTTTAGATTTCTCATGATGAACTGACTGGTGAAGGCCAAAAAGTATAATATAATACATGCAGTATTAATGTACATGTATATGTGTATGTTAAATGTATATTATGTGAGATGAGTTAAAATATTTTTGGCACTATTTGTTTCCAGGGTGCAACAAACTTCCATTTCTCATAGCCCCAGATTTAAAATGTTTTTCAACCATTAACAGTTTTTCTCAGGAGATTCACAGTTGTTCAAATAAATCAAGTTAAGTGTCTTTGATAGCTCATGTCATCCACCATCTATTAACTATCAATTTCCGAAAGCTCTAATATCTCTATGGTCTTCTTAATTAAACTTCATCACCTGTTTCATTCTTTAACATGACTTATTATATAGGCTAGAATCTCAGTGTTTTTTTCTTGAGAGACTTCCTGCCAGAAAAATAGTTTTTAAGTACCCAATTCAACTTAGGTTGTACACTTCAAAATTCTCTTTAATCTAGAAATTATAGAAATTGTGATCACTTTAATTCTAAATCTATGAAACATTTGCTTGTGTTTGTGTTATTTATAACAGACTATAATGTACAATACATTATGGGCGTAAAATTCAAAATTCAAACTCAAATGAGGTTTAACATAAACTCGACACAAACTAGCTCATTTCGGGTCTGACATATGGTTTAATTTTATTTCAATAATTCGCTTGTGCGTTCTGCTATTAGAAACACACAACTGTTATAGTGTTGTCAGTAGAAATGATCAAATATTATTACAACTGAAGAAATCAATATTTGTGTATTCTTTGACATATCTTTCACCATATCAATCTATATGTATTTATCAGTACAAAATTTATGTAGACTGCCGACTTTAATGGTGTCCCTACAATTACACAGACCAGCCCCTAATATTTATTCAAAATAATGAATTTGCAATCAATATTGATAACAGATTACATAAAAGCTACATCTACGGCACAATATATATCTGCAATCAATTTGGGTTTGGACTAGCAAAATGGAACTTTAAATGTATATTAAATAATTTCATGTTATCACTTGAACTTGACTGAAGAATCAAAGGATTAAATCTCCATTTGAAACAAATTTTAAAGGGGAAGTATTCTTGTCTTAAAATCTGGTTTAAAAATGAGGGAGGGGGTGGATGAAATATTATTCTCTACCAGCATTCTGCTTCTTATAGTTACAAAATTTCAACACTTTCATCCAAACAAATAACTGGGTGGATGGGTTGTAGATGCTGCAGATATAAAATAATAATGAAATGTAGGTTATTCAATACTGAATCATGGACAGATATAGGTTAACATTTTCTTACCCTGTCAGATGCATAACTGGAAATAACTGGTCGGACACGGACAATGTCCGGTCGAATTCCGCGACTTGTCAGGTGAAACCTCCAAATGGTCTGTCATTTTGTCCAGGGAAAAAATTTATCGGAATTTTGCCATCTTCGGAAAATAAAAGTATGGTAGTCTGCTACCTTTCGTGAATTTCTAACTTTACTTGCTATCGTACATGTAGCTCTACATTCTATAACTTGCATGTCACAACCCACAATCGGAAAATGCAAATAAAAGTCTATTAATCCATAGTATTACTTTTTTATCTGAAAAATGTCACAAACTAGTCAATCAACCACGTGGGCTTGCTTCTATGGCCATGGCCGTAGTCTCGGAATTCCATTCCCAAACATAAAGATAATGTTGGCGAGTGAGGGTAGCTCTATAATTTGAAATCTAACTATTGTAACACTGAACGGATACAGGGTCATAACCAGAAAAAAAAACTACAGGAAACCAAATATTGACAGTCATACCCGTTGGGTAATCAAATATTTTTGATATCATGGTTCAACTCCATGACTGAAAGTTCTACAATATCTCGAAGGCGGGTGTAGTAAATTTATCGTAGGTACCAAATACTAAAATTTAACAATTTTTGTCACATATATTCAAGGGAATTTTACGAGTTGAAACACACATTGTTATAGAATTTATACGATGTCACGCTTCAGAGATTTGATATTTTCTCAATAAATCCAATGCCAATACACATTAAGCAGTCGCCAGTCGAATGGTGTAATTTGGTTGTATGTATTTCAGCATAGAACCTTT